TCAACCAGATGCACAGTTCTACAGGAACAAAGCTTTGATGACCTTCAATGATTTGTGTTTGATATATGCTCATACCAAAGCAGATGGAAGATACAGCCTTTCAAGTCATGATATAGATTTTGATGATGACATTCAGGGAATGACTGATGGTGTGTCTCTAAATCCTTTAATGACATAGTAATACATTTTATCATACAAGTTGAAATTTATTATGTTGGTTATTTATGATGATTTGTATGTTGCAGTGAGTATTTTTGCATAAATAATTCGCCTGCTGCTCTTTTCAATTAAGTGAAACCAATCATAACCTAAAAGTGAAACTAAAATCTCAATTTAATTTGCTTTCAGTTCTTTTGCAAGCATATCCTCTCTGATATGGGAATAAGCTCAAGGTGCTTAGACAGAAGGGGTAGTAAATTTTTCTCCCTTTTCTTGAATAAGTGAGTCCAGAAAGTCGTAGTAACTTAACTATTTATGAACTAATTGCTAAACATTGGATTTTATTATACTGAATTAGCTAATACTGTTGCAAATTAACAAGCATGATCTGTTCTTTATGAATAAAATTTTCTTAGTTATTCCAATTTTGAACAACAGTCCCTTCTCTCCATTATTTGGGGTCGGCTCCTAATGTCTGTTCTATCCTGGGCCATATATTCATTTACTTATTTATGTTTCTTTGGTTTTTTGTTTTTTTGGTTTAAAGGTGTCGGAATGAATAGCCCTACACTTGCCCCTGGCCCTGTTCCTCCCCCTGCAAGTAAAGTGCAAACAAATACAGATTGGAAACCACCCATGGACCGATTTTTTCTGAAGCTTATGCTGGACCAACTGGGAAAAGGAAGTAAGACCAATAATTCATTCAAGAAACAGGCTTGGAAAGACATGGTCACATTATTCAACGCAAAGTTTGGTTCTCAATATAGGAAAAGTTTCTTAAAACAGCTGTATAAGAAACTGTTGAAGTACTATACTGATGTCAGAAGCATACTTGCAATTAAAGGATTTTATTGGGACGAAAAAGAACAAATGATTGTGGCTGATGATGATGTTTGGGATAATTACATCAAGGTAGATTTTTACTTATATTTGATAGCATTCAGTTGTGTACATTTTTACACTTCTGTTGTTGATGTAGGCACTTCCAGATGCACGTCTATATAGGAAGAAGCCCTTGCTGAACTATCAAGATTTGAACTTGATATATGGAAATGAAATTAGCAATGTACTTCGTAGTCATTTGCATGAAGGCACAAATTCTGAAGATGACATCTTACAGTACATGACTGGTGAGGTTCATTAAATAACCAAATTCCTATGTTTGAAATAGTGTTAAATCAATGAATGATTGAACAATTATGTCGATAAATGGGTTCTATTATTCATGTAGGTGAAGAGAGGGAGGGCCATTCTGTTTATGGTAATGGTCATTTGGCTTCCTTCGAGGATCTTGACAGTGAAGGCCAAGATTTAATGATAGGTGTGTTTCTTACCCAGCTCTGAGATTAGAATACTCTATGTTGAACCTTGCTATGAGTAAAATCTCGAGTTATGATATTTTCAGGTAGTAAATTGAGTAGAAATGCCTCCTAAACAAGCTTGAGATAGTCTGATAGTAGACACTGCTTGTGTTTCATTAGCCAGTACAATCTATGCTGTTGAGGATGTGCATATAAACTTCGAACTCTTTCTGTTACCTAATAATTTTAAGTAATACATTTTTAAATGGTTATCTCCAGTTTTCCATTGCAATTATTTCTGTGATTTGTTCATAATCATTTTCCATATTCAAAATTTCACAATGTCCAATGTGGGCGTAAAACCTGTGAATTATTTATGCCCATCTGCAATCATCTCTTCAATGGCAACTATGTACTTACAACATTTTGGTGGATCGAAGGAGAAGAGTCAGAAGACACTCAGATCCATGGAAATGATGATTTTTCAAGGACAGATTGGACACCTCCAATGGACCGTTTTCTGATTGACCTCATGCTGAAGCAACTGCAGAAAGTGAATAAGATTGATTACTCTTTTGACGACCAAGCATGGATAGATGTGCTTGTGCTGTTCAAGGAAAGATTTGGGTTACAACAAGACAAAGATCTCTTGAGGAGACGCTACAAAAGTTTAGAGAAGCAATACCATGATACAAAAGATCTTCTTGACCAGAGAGGGTTTTGGTGGGATGATACACAGCAAATGGTCACAGCGTATGATGACATTTGGGATGCTTATATTAAGGTGCATTACCTATCTCTTTGTGTCTTATTCATCAGTTTATATATGTGTTAACATATGGTATCTGTAGGAACACCCAGATGCGGAATCATACAGAACCAAATCCAAGCCAAACTATAATGATTTGTGCTTGATTTATGGAAAGTCAAAATCAGGCGAAAGGTGCAACCAATCAGGTCAAGCTATGGGCTGTAATGGTGATGGTGAGTTTTTGCCTTTATGAAGTCTCCCCTCTTCCCTCTCTTAAGATTTTGGAGCCCAGCCTGTGGAAACATTACTGTAGTCTGATAGTGTTGTTGGGTTTGCAATGTGTTTATTCCTTAAAATGTGCTTATAAAGTAATGTCACATCAATACCTTTGAGCTTGTTGACATGACATGTGACATCATGGCTGTCTGAAACCCTGCCTGGTTTGCTAGATATAATCAACGTGATTGCTTTTGTCTTTCATTAAGCAATTTTAATATACTAGATGAATCAAAAAATGAAAATTTTCCTTATACATGTATTGTTGTTTTATTCCTAAAGCAGCTAAGTATAACCATAGCTATCACTGGAGAACTGATTGGACACCTCCAATGGATCGATATTTCATTGATCTAATGTTGGAGCAAGTTCGCAATGGAAGTATGGTTAACTATAAATTCAGCAGACTAGCCTGGACTGAAATGGTTTCAAAGTTCAGAGCAGAATTTGGTTCCCAGCATGACAAAGATGTTTTGAAAAGTCGTTTTTTAAATTTGAGGAAACAATTCAATGGCATGAAAGCTCTACTTGACCAGAGTGGGTTTGCTTGGGATGAAATGCAACATATGGTAACTGCTGATGATCATCTTTGGGATGCTTATGTCAAGGTGTGTCTTTTGTTGGATTGTTGATTGCATAAGAATTGTATGTCTATAGCAGGCTAACAGCTCGCATGTTCTGGTGCAGGAACACCCTGATGCACAATCATACTGCAATAGAACTCTCCCAAATTTCAATGATTTGTACTTGATATATGGAAATGGAGACATTTTTAAAAGGGAGAGTACTTCAAGTCACACTATGGATGCCATGGATGATGATCTGGGCGTTAATCTTGGTGTGTGGCCCTCTCTCCCTTTCTCACAATGCCTTAGACGTATTCTGCTCGACTCCTTGATTATTGGAATGGAATGAATTTATTACAAATGTTTTAGGATGTCAGAAACTTTCTCAATATGAACTTGTTTTGCAGGGGATGAAACTCAGCAAACAATATCTACGGAAGATGATGTCTGGGAAGCTTATATCAAGGTGTGTGTTTTTCTCACTAGTTGCTGCCTAGGACAAAAGGAGGTTCCTATTTCTAGTACTAATTACAGCCTCTTCAACATTTGAGGAGGGAAGCAATATGATGTGTGCGCAAGTTTTGTATGTGTGCATGTTGAATGAACTTGTTGGTAACATATGCTATCCCTTTGCACGAAGTGAACCCTGAGTAGCTTTGGGCTCAGGAGACACTTTCCTGATTTGGTGACATGCGTTTCTTTCATGTCAATATGATATTTTGCAGGAGCATCCATATCCAATTGCATGTGCAAATAGAATCTTGGACAGTTATAATGATTTAACAAAAATATACGGCAACGGAGCCCGTGATGGAAGATCAAGTTGTTTCGGTAGGAACATTGAGAAAATGGAGAAAATGGGGATCAATATGATGTTTGGTGATTCCCCAGCCATGGAGTATGAAATATCTGATCAGCGAAAGAAGCGAAAACCAGCAGCTTCATCCACCTCAGCTAGTAAAAGAGCTCAAAGAATCATCAAGGAGGAGATACAAGAACCCTTGGATGAGAAACCACATATAGTAAAAGGGTTGGTCGGCGATGAAGTGGACAAAGACTGCTGCTCAATAGAACGCATTGTTGCTGCACTTGAAACTGTACCTGGCATAGATGATGAGCTCTTCTTGGAGGCTTCTCTAATTCTAGAAGATGATAAGAAAGCCAAGATGTTTGTGGCAATGGATGTTGCAGCTCGAAAGAAGTGGCTATACAGAAAACTACGCCGGTAGCATCTAAGTTGCTCGTTAGTATGCAAGTGTAGTTTTGATATGCTTATCATCCTTGTGTTTTTTTTCCTCATGTAAATTAGATAAATGGAAAGACAGTTCCCCTCTACATAATGTAATTCCCTTGTGTATATCAGTAAGTTTTGAGATGGGCTTTTTCCCTGCTATTGAACAAGAAAGCCAAAGCTTCTTCTTCTCCCTTTTATGTTTTTTTAAGCAAATTAATTAACCGCAACAAATGCTAATTATAGCAACCGGATTATCTCTACACTATTATGAGTTTTGTGTGGACAAAATACTATTATGAGTTTAGGTTTACCTTTGAAGAAAACATACAATAAATGTATTATATGCATATGTAAATATTTTTCACATTTAATACAAGTTTTTTTTATATATAAAATTTTGAATAATACAGACATAATTATGATTTTTCACATATTATTGAATATATATTAAATAAATTATATTAAAATATTATATAGTGGCTGACCTTTTCAGTATCTTGCCAAAATTTTGCCCAATAAAACAAGTTTTATTTTTACTTTTCCTATTCTGTATTTTACTAGGCTTTGAATCTTACAAGTTGTAAATCGAATTTCATAATACCAAGAACTGCAATACGGATTAACAATAATTACATAGTTACAACTTACAAGTAAAACAGTAAATGAAGTTACGGATCAATTAAAGAAAACAAATTACCCAGATCAAGAAAAAAGAAAAGATACTGTGTTGTTCTTCTCTGATGAATCACTGATGAATCTTTTCTATTCTGTGAACCGCGTAAAGACCAAGGTCGCTGGCAAAAGTTGGATCCAAATTCCACTCTGTGAACTGGGAGGAAGAGCCAAAACAAACAGACACAGAGATGGAGACAGTGTCACGACCTTGACAAAAGATTGGTGCTTTTGCTAAATGGCATGGCCATCTCATTCTTTTCTTTCAGAACTTGCTTTCTCTCTCTCGCGCTCCTCTCTACCTTCTTCTTCTTCCTCCTCACAACCCCAAATTCCAATTCCCCAAACTACCCCTCCCCATTTCTCATAACCCCCCACAGGTTCCTCATCACCACCCCAGCAAAAAACCCACCTTGCTCCTCCACCACCATAACCCACTCCAATGGCCTCTTCAACTACTTGTACCTCCATTTCTGCCTCTTCAGCCAAAACCCTTTTTTCTCTCTCTCTTCACTGTCTATCATCCTCCTTCTCCTCTTCTACATCCTCATCAAAACAGCTCAAGATCACTTCTCTTTGGTCACAACAAAGCTCACTTTTTCCCTCAATTTAACTCCAAGCATGGCCGCCGTGACCCTCTTAGCGCTCGGCAACGGCGCTCCTGACGTCTTCGCATCGGTCGCGGCGGTCCGGACCGGCCAATACCGAACTGGCTTCGGCGCAATTCTTTCGGCCGGCACGTTTGTCTCGGCGTTTGTGGTTGGTTTCGTGGCAATTTACGCCGCACCCTTTTCGCTCAATCCGGCGCCGTTTGTGAGGGACGTGTTGTTTTATCTGACCGCGGCGTTGTTCTTGTTCTATGTGTATCTTAGTGCCGAGATTTATCTGTGGCAGGCTGTTGGGTTTGTTGGGTTTTACTTGTTTTTTGTTGGCCTTGTGTTTTGGATGGACTTGGGGTTAGGTGCAGGAGGAAAGAAGAGCAGGGTTGAGGCGGGTGTGGTTGGAGACGGTGAAATTCAGAGGGGTTTGGTTGCACCAGATTTTGAGATCGGACAAGTTTCGGAGAATTCAGAGGATGGGAAGCCAAGTTTCGGGCTTCGGCGAGCTCTTGTAATGGTATGTTTCAGCTAAATTTGTGTTTCTTCTCAGCAAAAGTTTAGGTGCAATGTGCACTATAGGCAATGCTTTAAAGGGTGTCCATAGTTCAGGATTAGTGTCAATGGCTGTTTAATGTTTTTCGAGAATTAGATCAGACTCCTTTTCTCAAGAACTACTTGATAGAGGAATGTGGATTGTGTTGAATGGTATCTACACAGCTTGCTAATCAACTCATCGCTTTAAATTTCTATGTTCTCATGGTTTCCTTAAATATTTCCCTCATTGGAACAGATGGTTTGGATAGCCGAATGTAGGTGAAAGTCGCCATGGATTTCATTGGGAAATGAAATGACAATTTGGATTTTGAGTTTAGGCTTGCCACTTAGTTAATGTTACTACTTTTGGATCATAAATGTTTATGATCATTTGATATTTAATGACACCATAAATCGGCTACATATCTCGTAGGCTTTTATACTGAATAAAGCTTCCTCTCTTTGGCATTGCAGAAGGAAATGAATTTGAAAATTTTAATGTTTTCTGTTTGGAAGACTTCTTCTATCAAGAATAATGACTGTTGAATTGAAAGTTTTTACTTTACTATGAATAATTTTTGTGAACCTTTTGTAGGGTCGATGATAAATTAGATCATACACCCCTGGTCAGACGCAGCTTATCCTTGTCTCACTAGAGCAATATAACTAAGTTGTAGTAGGTGTGCCTAAATTCCTGTAGATGAAAGGTGCAATTTATGAAATAATTAAAGGGTGTGATATAAATTGTAGAAGCACTTGCTCAGAGTTTCATAGCGTTTTGGGATAAACTGCATATTTCATTTTATAATCTCTTCTAGTTCTTGAACTTGGAGAAAACATGAAACTTTATATTCTGATTGAGCTCATTTTGCCTCTATACAATTTTTTTACTTCTTTGGAAATTTGCATTTGTTAACTCTTCTTGTTTCATATATAGATCTCAAAAGCATGGGAGCTTCCAGTCTCAGTTCTTCTAAAGCTCACAATTCCGCAAGCTGCACCTTCTGAATGGAGCAGATTCTACACATCAGCCAATATTGCTCTTTGCCCTCTAGCCCTTCTATATGCTTGCAATTCGTTCATGCCATTCAACCATCCTGTTGTTTTTCTCCTTTCCGATACCCATTTGCCCCTATGGTTTGTAGTCCTCTTGGCAAGCTCCCCTCTTGCACTTCTTTATTATATAGTGGAAAAAGATCCCCCCAAAACTGAGCAAATGCCTGTATTGCTTATAGCATTTGTTATGAGTGTTTTTTGGATATCAACTACTGCTGGAGAACTGCTGAACTGCCTTGCTGCTCTTGGATCACTTCTGGAGTTGCCACCTGCACTTCTTGGGCTTACGGTTCTAGCATGGGGAAATTCAGTGGGGGATCTTGTTGCTGATGTTGCACTTGCCAAGGCAGGCCACCCTGCAATGGCCATGGCTGGTTGTTTTGCTGGGCCAATGTTTAACATGCTTGTTGGACTTGGAACAGCTTTGGTTATACAGACATATAATGTTTATCCGGAGGTGTACGAGCTTCAGTTCCACATGGGTATTATAATTGCATTTGTTTTCTTGCTTTTGAGCCTGATGGGATCTCTATTGGTGATTACATGGTGCAGATTCCGGGTGCCTAGGTTCTGGGGGTTTTGTCTTGTTGGTCTCTATGTTATTTTTATGGCAGTTAGTTTGGTTATTGCCAAGTTTTCAGGATGATTCTTTATCCATTGAGATTGGATCTACCATCGAACAATTGCACACAACCGGGGATAACTTGCAGCTACCAAATGTCATCTGAGCTTGATCATGCCAACTATGACTTGGATGAATTGTGCATATTATAGAAGCATCATTCGTTGACAATGTAAGAAAGAGGTCAAGGATCAAGAAGTACATTGCTTATTGAAGAATTTGCACCCTCTTTGCTCCCCCATATGAAAGGGATATGTAGCTTATTACAGGTTGATTTGATTTTTGTTTCAACACTGGATAGATGAAATTCTTTTAGACTACAAATAATCGTCTTGTAGATGAAATTTTTATAGGGAGTATCATTTTTAGACCCAAATTACATTTCTACTGGCATAAATGCTTTGGCTAGTGCCAGAATCATGGCTCTTGTACCACTTGTAACATTACCAAATAGCAATGGCAATTTTTTGTTGCAATCAGCACAAAGTGGTCCAAAGATTCAACCTTTGTGTTCTCCCCCAACCTCACAATTTAGAAACATGCCCATGAACCATCCTCACCCTCTTCAATGGGGAAGAAAAGCACTGGTTAAACATCTCCAGTCCTTATTAGAACATTGATGAATTATGATATCAAAATTAGGTCCATGAGATGAGGGTTTTGTGAAGTGGTCCATGCATGTCGTGGATTCTCTTCCTCTTTTTTCCTTTTTTCCCCTTGTTATAGGGTTTTGTGAAGTTGAGGGTCATGATCAGAATCAACATAGATTTAATTTGAGGGGACATAAACTGATGATAATTGGCTCTGATTACCCTAACAGGTGGTAATAATATGTGCCCAACACTTGCATATCACATTATTGGGACCATTGATTTTTGGTTTATGAAACCAATCTTCCTAAATGTTGACTTCATAGAATTTACTTTATAAGAAAGCAGGAACTTCATGATCACAAAAGGGCATTTCCCTAAAGGATATAAAAGAAGAACCTTTCCTTTTCTTTTCCTTTTTGGAGGTACAACTTCTTTTTCTTTTTTATCATCACTTTTGTGACAACAAAATAAAAGCAAATATAAAAGAAGTACTTTAGCATGTATTGCAGGCCATGAATGAAATGAAATACATTTTCGAAAAAATAGTTTCAAACCAACATTCCTGGCTTGTTTGGGACGTCAAACTCTCAACTAAACTATTATAATTAAACTGAATAGTAGTCTAAGCTTCACAATAATGGCGTAAAAAGTGACTCAAGTGTTACGATTAAATTGAAAAATAATAGAGTATTAAAAAAATATGGGTTAAGTTATCTCAACTTTGGACTTCATCTTATTTTTATAAGATGAACTATTGGACTACATAAATTAAACTGAACAGTAGTATATTTTTTCGTTTCTACGCCGGCCTATGTCTATTTTTCTCCTTGTTTTTCGAGTCTCTCGTTGACACGAATACTGTTGCGCTTTTACAAATTTGGATGTTATCTAACTGTTGTTTCCAATAATATAAATTATAATTAACAACTAACACACAGCATATCATTAGAAAATACTTTGAAAAATAAAATAAAATCCCATCCCAAAATTGAATGGATCTGGTGACAATCATAGGTTCCAAATAAGTAGAGTGATCTTCTCCACGTAGCCAACAGGCACCATGATCAAACATAACATAATCCGTCATGCCCCTACCGTAAATAACAACTTCCACCAAGGGTAAAACCGTCAGACACAAAAAACTCCATAAAAGTTCGATGTTCTGACAATTTTAAGTCAGAATCGAACACTCCCTCGCAGCTTTTGTTCTTCCTTTTTAGGTTTGTATGCGAAACATTAATCATTACGAAAAACAATACATAGAAAAGAGAAAGAAAGGTTGCAAACCCAAAATTGTAGATCTTTCTCTGTACGAAAAATTTCCAAGAAGAGAAAAAATTAGAAAAGTTTCAGACCCAATAGTTTTTTGTTCTCATTGCCCGGATGGATATTTCTGTGGCTCTGTTTCTGAAAGAATTTTCCTTCTTTTCCAGGTACTCAATTAATCTTGCGTAGCAGAGCACCACCTGTTTGAGAAAAGGTACGAAAGACAGGCACACGCCCACACACACACACGCAAACCTCTCTGGTTATATATCTCTGTGTTTTTTTCATGTATTTCTTTGCGTGTGCGCGCGTGTGTGGTGGGTTGGTCTTAGATTGCCAAATGGGTGATCTTTGTTCTTTTCCCATGTAACATTTTTATTTCTGGATATGGGTTTTCTTTTACTGTTGGTTTTGTTTCCCGTCTGAGATCAAATGTTGGTTTTTTTTATTTGCTGTGATTCCGTTTTGCCCAATTTTTGTTGAGGAAACTGTTTTTCCTAATTGAATGATCATATATCATGCGTTTTCGCGCTAGAATTATTGTTTTGTTTTTGCTTTTATAATATTTTATTCTCCTTTTTCCGTGTTTCTGCTCTGTCTTCTTCGTTGATCATTGTGTCTGTTCTTTCTTTTCTTTTTTCTCTTGAACATACTGTTAAGCTGGGTGGTAGAATGATTTCTACAAAAGAAAAGTACTGTCTTTTGTTTAGAAGATGCCACTTTGACTAGTACCCAGATAGTGGATTGTAAATCTAGTGGATTTGCTGAAGATATTTAGTTATAAGAGAGTATTTAGACCCTTCATTCAGTGATTTGACTAGTTTGGCAGCTGGAACTTTTGATTCTATCACATGGGGAGATTTGAATAAAGGAGTATGCTTTGATCTTTTATCATCTAAAGAGGAAAAAGAAAAGAAAGAAAGAACAAACTGTTTAGATTTATTATGTGCAATATAGAACAAGATGGATGGGCCCTCATTTACCATTTCATTGTGTGAGAAGGAGATCTTTTGATATTTGAGTAGATAGTAACTAGCAGGTCTCTAAAGCAGACGTCTTTTCTGTTGCTTGCTTCTATCAGGGCCAAGTTGCTATGGATCCACAAGGGCATAACCAACCCCAATCTATGGGGATGGTAGGCAGTGGAGCTCATTTGACATATGGTACTAACCCATATCAGCATAATCAAATGGTTGGGAGCCCAAATCCGGGGTCAGTTGCCGGAACAGTGGGAGCTATTCAATCAACTAGTCAACCTGCTGGAGGTCAGCTTGCACAACACCAACTTGCTTATCAGCATATCCACCAGCAGCAACAGCAACAACTTCAGCAACAGCTGCAATCTTTTTGGGCAAATCAGTATCAAGAAATTGACAAGGTAACTGATTTCAAGAACCATAGCCTTCCCTTAGCAAGGATCAAAAAGATTATGAAGGCTGATGAGGATGTGAGAATGATATCGGCTGAGGCACCTGTAATATTTGCCAGGGCATGTGAAATGTTCATATTGGAACTGACATTGCGGTCTTGGAATCATACGGAAGAGAATAAGCGGAGGACACTTCAGAAGAATGACATTGCAGCTGCAATCACAAGGACTGATATCTTTGATTTCTTGGTAGACATTGTGCCAAGAGAGGATCTGAAAGATGAGGTCCTTGCATCAATTCCAAGGGGAACAGTTTCTGTAGGAGGGCCGGCTGATGCACTTCCATACTGCTACATGCCGCCTCAGCATGCGCCTCAGGTTGGGGCTCCTGGGATGATTATGGGTAAGCCTATGATGGACCCATCTATGTATGCTCAACAGTCTCACCCTTACATGGGTCAGCCAATGTGGCAGCAGGCACCGGAGCAGCAGCAGCAGTCACCATCAGATCATTAGCAGGTGCAGCATGGAAGTGAAGAAGGTGTAAGTTACTTTGTTTTTGTTCTCCAGGCTTGTGACTGAAAGCTGAGAAAGCAAAGTGGTGATTTGAACGTGTTGAAGAAAACTTTGGTTTTTGTAATTATAATGCAATTTCTTACCTTTTGTGCTTAACATCTAGCATCTTTCGGCTCGTAGACTCTTCGCTATAAAACCATATGGTTGGTGATGATGCAGGTTGTGAACTGATTTTTGTTAACTCTTTTATAGTAAAAGAATGGTTATGATTAATATACATGTGGCTCTCACTGTTTTAGCAAGGTATTTGCCCATGATTCATGCCCCTTTTTTTGTATGATATGATGAGACCTTGAATGCCGTAATGGAACTGTAGCATCAATTTTTTGAGACTGTTTATGCTGTAATGGATCCAGATTCCTGATATCTGAGTAGGAATTAGTAGTCAATTGCAACCAAACACAGGAAAGTTCCATCTGAAACTCAAAGTACCAAACAAAGGGTTCCACAAGCAAGCTATTACTATTATTCCGGGGATCTCCATTGAGGAGCATCAAACCCTAACGACGAAGCTCTCTCTTTATCATCTTGCGCCAGATGTGGCTTTTTGAAACACAAAAGCCATTGTTTGATTGCCGCATGAAATTCAAGCAGACCCATTAAGCTACTTTTTCAACTTCGAAGCTTCCACAAGGACAGTAAATAAGTGAGAATTGTTTCAATGACTACCATTATTCATGAAGGGAAAAATATAACATCACTGAAGCAATAAATTTGTAGACATAATAACAAAATAATAATTTGCTCACCAATTTTTTTTTTTGGGTCACAATCAGGGCCAAGGCCCAAAGAAAAATAAAGTAACAACCATATGTGGGGTGAAATTAAATTAAATTACAAGAATGGGCCTTCTTTCTTGTAACAAAAGGTTGACTTTTGGGCCCAATACTGGCCCAGGTATCATTAATTCAGCCCAATTTCCATAAATTAGGCCCAATAATGTCTTCTGTTTTTGCTAAAAACAATGTGATGACTTGGGGCCCGGTTGGTATTCTACTTGGATTCAATTTTATAAACTCAAAAACAGATTTGCCCTAAAAAGCTATTTGGTAGATCCATTTTTAAAAAACCAAACTAAAAAAAAAATTTCAAAAAAAAATTTGCCCTAAGAAGCTGTTTGGTAAGATCTTTTTCCTTTTCTTTTGTTAATTTCAATTTGGGAATTAGGGTTTATGATTTTCTGATTTTAATTTCAATTTTTTTTAGATCTTAAAAATAGTTTGGAGTTCAATACCAAACAAGTTTTTAGATATTAAAATCACTATTTGAAAACTTATGTTTTTAAAAAGAATCATAGTTTTTCAGTTTACTTTTTTGAGTAGGAAACTAAATAGGGCCTTAACTTTTTATTCTAACAAAGAAAAAAGACGGGAAATCATGAGCTTACGGTGCAAATCTTTGCACCCGATTACCCCCGATTACCCTAAGCACCTCTCGCCTATATAAAGCACCTCACTCTCTGACCAAAATAAAAAAAATAGGGTTAATTTAATTTAGTAACCTAAACTCTTATCTTTAAAGCATATTTACTCATGCACTCTAAATTTTAACAATTACATACCCTAAGTTTTTCAATTTTGTGCAATCTGATTCCTATGTTAACTTCATCATCAAAATTTTAGTTAATTGCTTGTATGACAAGCTTGAATCACACCTATTCACTTCTTTCAATATCAGTTGAAATTGAAAGGGTATTTTGTTAAAAAATGGTTAGGTATTAATGCATGTAATGTGTTCTTCATGGGCAGGAAGACACCAATTACCCAAAAATACTCTTCAGTTAACATCAAAATAAGCAAATAGGTGAAATTTTGATGTCCAAGTTAACGTTGGAACCAAATTGCAAAAAATTGAAAAGCTTAGGATATATAATCATTAACATTGAGAGTGCAAGGCAAATATGCCTTAAAATAAGAGTTCAAATACTAAATCGAAATTAACCCTAAAAAATAAATAAAAGGAAATTACCTCACTCAGTCCATCTAATAAACAAGCAAAGCAAACGGGCAAAAGCCCAAGGAACTCCCCGCTGTGACGCCGTTTCGTATATCTCCGGCCGCCCTCAGATGGCTGCCCCCGGGCCAACTAGGTATACGCACACATACCCTTTCACCGTATACATATATACACTTGATAATTTATATATATATATATATCTATAGGCTATATGAATTATATAGATAGGAAGTCGAATATTTTCACTCACCTGGTTTCAGTTAATTTTAGACTATTTTGGGGGTTCAGATTGGCAATTGCATGTATGGTTATGCGTATATATGAGTATCTGTGTAGAAATGTCTGCTATTTGTATTATATAGTAAATAGACTCGTATGTTTGCATGTCGATGTTAGGGCTATATGCAAGTATGAATTTCTTGAAGGAAGCTTTTGTGTACAAGAAATTGATAATGGTGTGTGTTTTTAAGTTGTCCCTTGTTATGCATGTGCAGATGCAGAGCAAATTTTTTCATGAAAAAGTTGGTATGAGTGGGAAATATGCAGAAAAGGAATAAGAAACAATAAATATTTGTTTGATTAAAATAGAACTTCTATTTGAGAATTTGTTGGATGAAATTGATGATGGGAAGTGAGGCCTGGTTTGGCAGGTAGATTTTGAAAGCTGTTTCTTCGAAAATTTGCCTATGAGGCTAGAACAGCATGCTTTTAAGGAATGCTATGGGTCATGGTAGTTTAAATGTGATTTTAATTGAGGATCATGTTTCTGGAACCGGAATGAATTTGATGAGATATTGGTTTTTAGGTCTTGATCGTCTGTTAGGGAAACATTTTATTTATTATAATAATTCCAACATGTCATGCAATACGAAAATGGCACGCTGCATGCATTTCCCGCGCCAATTTCAAAATTTTCCCATTTTTAGAAAGAAAAAACCATGTTACCCAAATGGGGTCGCAAAAGTTTGATTAGTTCTTTATCATTTATTTGAAGTGATTATTGTAGAATGAGTAAGATTGATATGGAAATGAAGTTTTCGAAAAGATTTGTGTCATTTAGGAAATTAGGAGAAGTGAAGTAAATAGATTAGCCTTTTTATTGGATCATTTTCTTTCATTCACTTCCCTCTGGCACCCTATAATATTTGGAAGTTTTCCAGTTTTTTTGTTAGGTTATGTAGTTGTTGCAAATAATCATTAAGAATAGCAAGTCTTTAAGTGGATCTTAAAACATTCAACAAGTTTTGTTCCCTGAGTTATACATAAAAATTAAAAGGAATAAATCATGCTAGTTGTGATACTGAAAAAACCTAGGATTTTAGGGGAAAAAACCCATAAGGAATTTGTAAAAGTAAACGCAAAAAGGGAAACAAATGAAGTCACGCTAGTAGTGATACTGAAGAAATCACAAGAATTTCCGGAAAAACGCAGAAAGGAATAGACCCAGTAAGAGAAAATTAAGTTTAACAAGTATAGCTGTGCCTGTTTCTTTTGGTAATGGTGGTCCATGATATATATGCATTTGTGCCTTAAGGACATTTCAAGGAAGATAGAACCACTCTGGGAGTTTCTTAGGTTTGGGATTGTAACGTTAATTTGATTGTTACCAAAGAAAAAGGAAATTGAATTGGTGGAGTTGTGGTAAAATGGGGTAAGAGTTGAAGAAAGTGTGTGAGCTCTAATTAGTCCCATTGCTTCTTGATTATTGAAGACAAATGAAGGATAAGGCAGAGAGGATATGGTAGTATATCAGAAGGCTTTTCCTGACAATGGCAGAGAGGATAGCCTCTGCAGTTTGACTAAGGGTACATGAGTCCTGACTTGCTGATATATATCATGCCTAAATAGCCTATGTTTTAATTATTGTCTTTTTCTAGAGTAGGAATAATCCAAGAAAATTTGTTGTGTTTGTCAGTTTGAGTTAGGGGCAGCCTTCAGGGGAGGCAACTGCCTTGGGCCCTCAAGTTTGATAATTTAAATAGGCCCCCCAGATCCAAGTTACAAATGTTGCATTAGGCCCTTAAAAATTGCTTATTTAATTCTAAATAAAGAGCTCCAGTCCAATCCTCATATATGTTTGTGAGGAGAAAACACAAAACCTATTTGCCTAAATTTCATCTTTCTTCCTCTGGTTCGCTCTGGTTCTCCGTTGTTGCCGAAATGCCATTTAGGTTGGTTCTTTCATCAATTTATTCTTGCTCTTCCCTTTGCTTGGTGTGCTTATCTTCCCATTTCTTTGACTGGGGTTTCTCCTCTGTTTGTTTTTCTCATTTTTTATTTTGTTGATGATAAATTCTGTATGACACTCTGTTGTATTTTAAAGAAGATTGTTTTATATTATGTTAGATAATCAAGAGCACTGGGTGTATATGACGAGTCTATTGTTTCTTTCAAAAGATGGGTACTGTAAGTGCTGCCTGGAACAGATTGGTTTTAGGGTATGTCATGGTAATGGTGTTGGTTATATGTGGCTTGCAATATGCCGACATGTCCTTTTGCATCCCACTTATTGTGGTTTAATGAAGAAAATCATCTTCTGGCCAAATTAGGTGTTTTTTTTAATATCGGAAATGCTATTAAGCTAGTAGATTAGTTGTACTTTATTACTTAGCAACAAAAATTTGGATTTTTCTTTATTATTATTATTTTTTATGCCAATGCAAATTTTCTTTGCCTCAGGACCCTAAATTCCCAGGGTTTACCCTGCAACGAGTGCATGCTTTTGTGATTACACTGTAGAATTTTAATAAACAGAAAACTCACTTTTTTTTAGAGGTAATATTGGAAAATAACCATTTCTCACATCTTTTGAGAGCGAGTAGCAAAATATGTATTTATTCTGACAAAATATTCTCTTTGAATAATGAAATATATGTTTCACCTGACTACTTAGTCTTTTTTTTTCTTTCTAAATATTTTCACACTAGAAATCATTTGGACGCTTTACAGGTGATGCTTGATTGTATGTGTCAGCAGTATGGGACTATTATCTTATTTTATCATGGTAGTGTTTATGCAAGTTGAATTTTATTTTAATTTTTTTAATGCAACATCTTCAGATAGACTTTATTGTACCCTATTTGCCTGTTGTGATTAACTTTGAGGACTTCTTGCAGGTTTGCAGGAACAAGTAAAACTAATGAACCAGATCATTTTGATCCTCAACAACCCATTCTTGATGTGAAACCTCTCAATAGCATGCCTTATATTGGTCCACCTACAATGCATCCATCAACAACTACAGACTCTGATGCACAAGAGAAACTGAAGCCAACTGTGATTATTCTACCTCCTGACTCAACAAGAGAACAGTGGAATAAGGCTTTGGAAACCAACAAATCAGGGATTGTTTTGACTGGAGCTGCTGCGAGGGGACAGGTGGGACCAATAATAGGATTAGTTGATATTGCCGAGAACGAAGACTCATACTTATTTCGTGTCAATCTACCAGGGGTTTTAAGGGATGAGAGTGAGTATGATCACCTTGCGTCATTTTGTTTACAACGAAGACTCAGTCTTGTTCGATGACTTAGCATTCTTTATCTTATATATTAATGGTTGATTGGCAATTGTGATTGAATCGTTATGGTGTATTACACTAGGTGTGCATACCTCTTTGACAAAGGTGTGAAAATCAATCAATTTGTTCTACATTAGTCATGCACATGACGACTTGTCTGTTTGTTTTGTAAAACCTTCTTCTTTAGCTTTCAATAGTTGGGTTCTCCGGTTGTCATGAAAATTGGATTGGTGCTAAATTGAGATTGAATCTTCATCAACATTTCTTCATATTATTGATCATGCTTAATGAATCAGACCATTGTCTTTGTGCATGCAGATTTTGAATGCAGCGTTGGCATTGATGGAGAAGTATTTATCAAAGGAGTAACTACGACAGGAGAGAAAACTGTGTGCAAAAACTCCCAAGTCTTTAAGATGCAAACACAAAATCTGTGCCCCCCAGGTCACTTCTCTATCTCGTTCCAGCTTCCTGGTCCAGTTAAGTGCCAAGAAGTTACTCTCTCTTTTGAGACTGATGGGATTTTGGAGGCCATTGTGCAGAAAAAATTACCATAAAAGTATTCCGCTTTGGGGAGCTTGTATGGTTTTTTATGATGTGGACTTAGATGGAGAAGACTCTAGGTGGTGAGGACTTATAGACTATAAATAATTGCCTCTGATATTGCAGAGGATGAAGGTGGGGATACAAGCTAAATGGTGATATACAGTAGGCTTGGGCGGGCTCAAGTTATAGTGAAGTAGGGCTTTGTTAAATTGTTTGTACTCACTTTAGGACTGGAAGCTGTGTTCATAGGTGGACGATGGTTATGTCCTAGCCACATCCTTTGTGAAATATTTTATTTCCGTTGAAAGTTCTCTATGCCAAGATCAATTCATGGTGAAACAGCTGCTAGTTCTCTTGAAATTTACCAGAGGCTTAGCTTTGTTCATTTTGTGGAAAATTGTCTTTTATGGATTTAATTTTTTTATGAAAAATCCTTATTAAAAAAGCTATATATATATATATATAATGAGTTTCTAGTATTTCGTGTTTATGATATTTTTGCTGGGTGGGTGGGGTTGACAGTAAGGGGCTGACATTGTTAATGGTGGTTATGTTGTCGGATTAATTAACAGCTTGCTGATCGAAACAACAACATGCTTGCAGGTTTGAACTCTGAAACCCAAATTAAGAAATGTTCATAGATTTGGTTTCTTTTCTTTACCGGTCTCTTGGATATCTAAATGACCAGCCAAATGTTTTGGCTGAATTGATAAAATGATTTTTTGTAAACACCCTCTTGCATTTATGTCATGAAGGTTAAGATAATCCAACCTTAGTCTCATCTCAAATTTGTGGTTCAGTTCCCATTCAAATTTTCCTAGAGCCTCTAACAAGAATTTGTGGCATCCATATCAAATTTCACACTGTTTCATGCTTGTGCACTCTGAATTGTTCATTTTAGGAGATTCACGGTTAAAAGGTTGAAGCAATTTTGACATCAGAATGTTTGCTTGTCATGTGAAACCGCATAATTCGTAGAGGTATTACTATTCTGAATCTTGTCTTCGAATGTATTTAGTTATTTTCTTCTCAAATCAGGAGATTATGAATGCTATAAATATTACAAGCAAGTTGTTTGTTTTGTTAAGGTTATAATTATTGCTTTTTACTTGGAAAATCATCTAATGGTTTTCTTACTATGTCACCCTTTAGCATATATCTTACAAAATATTTAATAGATGTCTAAGTTTATCTGTCTTTTTTTTCCCCTCTTTTATATCTTATACACATAGAGAATGTTTAGCATTTCATTTTTGGGGTCTTCAATGTTTCGCTGATTTTTCATGTTTTCTTTGCTAGTCAGAATTGAATGATGATTCAATGTTTACCTTGGTTGGATGTAATGAATGATAGCCTCTATGTCATAACCAATTATTAATGTAAACAGACAACGCATCTTTCTGATCAAACAATGATATATGTATCATATCAATGGAAGTCATTTTCTAAGGACACTACTAGATTTATCTTTTTTGTCAATAAAACACCTTTTTGATATGTAAATATGCCATTGCCTAGTCGTAGATATGTTCTCTTTACTCTTTGTGCTGGAGCCATGAGTAAAAGGGTTTCTTGTTGTAATAGGGGCTAGGTAGGAGGTGTTGGAAGTGTTGGAATTTGGTGCCTCCTTGCAATGGGGAATATAAGTGAGGCAAACCAATTTATTATCAATGTAATTCATCTGTAGGTGTTAATGATTGCTCGGTGAGATGTTTTCTACATATTCATGTAGAAATTGCTTCTCTTTCACGTTAAGGAGATCACTGAGTCAAGATAAGTGATCTCTCAACTATGAGGAATTTTAGGTTTTATTTAATTTAGATCTTGTTGTAGCTTTATGCCTATGAAGCCGTTACCAAACCTCTTGAAAAATTGAAATACCGGCTACAAATCCTGGCATGCCGCTCGTTGTATTAATCCTGGTGTGATACTGCATGGTTTCCGCGTGTTTGCTGCATGGTTTTCGAGTGTACACTGCATGGTTTCCGCATGTGCACTGCCGCGTGTTCTGAATAACTCTATAAGTACTACCAGTAGTTGCATCCCTAGAACATATCTGTTGGTCATTTGTAGCTAGAAATCAAAATTATCCAAGGTCCATTGTTATTTTTGTGTTTTCGAGTCATGATTTCTGGAGAAGGTGCAGGTGAAGGTGACGTTGAAGATGAGGATGATGGGCATCTCAAAGTGTAGACTACCAGAAAGTTGGACATCTTGAAATGCAGATGTTTGAAAAATTGAATCAGTGATAGATTACCAGATTAATTTCCCTTCTGTAGCGGTGTATACACCAATGTATGATTAATAAATAAAAAAAAGAAAGAAAAAAACTTTCTTCTCAAAATGGTTTGATTATGAAGCATTGTGTTAGAAAACTTTTTTGGCTTTTATGGGAGCGACTTTATTGCATTGTAAAGTAAGCTCCATTTAGCTATGATTATTTGCAATGTTTTCATATTTTTCACGTTTGCTCTAGATGCGAATAAACATTTATGAATTCAAAATAAAAAAATATTCAGAGAGAGCTTTAGGAGTTAATTTTATATAGAAATTAGCTTGAGATATGTTTTTCAACAGAGTTCATCGTATAACCAAACCAAATTGTTTATTAGGCCTATTTATGAGCTAATGGGAGAATTTAAATCCACTTTGGTGCGAATGAAGCTAAAATTTCCTGACAGGAAAAAAGGACTTGAAATCTTGAAAAGGAAAGGGAAATGGCAATGCTTTTTAGAGGGGCAGGGTACCAGAGGCTGAGGACCGAGACGGTGTCGTTATGTTTTGTTTGCAGGCTCTGAGAGCAGTTTGGACTGGAAGTAACTTCTATGTCTCTTTGCAGCTTCCTTCTCCAATGGCCCTGTCCTTGCCTTTTGAGATAATGACAGATAAACATGCATATGATAAATATGTCATCTGGGAACTTCTAAGTAAAATAAATTTGGAAATGAATCAATATAATATACTCATGAACTTAACAACTTCATTTCGACTGAACTATGACCAAGATTTTTGGCAATCCTCCTATCTTTCATCAATTCTCTAGCTAGCTTTACTTCCTGCCATCTCCCGGCCCTTGCGTATATATTCGAAAGAAGAACATAAACTCCACTACCATGAGGTTCCATTTCTGTCATGCGTCTTCTCACTTGGTCAGCCAGATCAACATTTTCATGTATCTCGCAGCCATTCAGGAGAGCTCCCCATACAGCAACATTGGGTTGAAGTGGCATTTCTTCCAGTAGTCTCACCGCCTCTTCAAAGCGGCCTGCTCGACTCAAGAGATCAACCATGCAGCAATAATGCTCTTCAGTTGGTTCTATGCCATAAACATTTACCATTGAGGCAAAATGTCTCTGACCCTCCTCCACAAGACCAACATGGCTACATGCACATAAAACCCCAATGTAAGTGATCTGGTCTGGAACAACCCTAGCATCCTCTTGCATTTTTCTGAAAGTATGTAGCGCTGCCATACCATGCCCGTGCATAGCTAAACCAGTAATAATACTAGTCCATGCCATCACATCTTTCTTCTGCAGATTGTCAAAAATTCTTTGAGCACTTCCTGCATCTCCAGTTTTGGCATACATGTCCACTAAGGCAGTGCCAATAGCTGTGTCTTTGCCCATGCTAGTTTTTGATACATATGAATGAAGACTTTGTCCCAATGCCAAAGCACCCAACTGCGCACAAGCACCAATTACACCCAGAAAGGTAGCTTCATCCGGAGCAAACCCAGCATTCTGCATATCAGAAAAGAGACCAATTGCCTCCTTAGCCCGGCCATACTGATTATAAGCACTAATCATGGAATTCCAGGTAACCAAGTTTCTCTGAGGCATTTTGTTGAACAGATCTCGTGCAGTTCTCAAGCTGCCACATTTTGCATACATATCTAATATGGCAGTTGCAAGAACTATATTGAAATTGAAACTTGACCCAAAGGGATCAAACCCAAGTTGGCGAATACGACTGTGAACCAACTTTCCAGTATCAATATCCCTACTTCGAGCACAAGCAACTACAACATGCACCATGGTGAACTCATTAGGCTGTACATTTTGAAGTTCCATATCCTTAAACACCTTTATAGCCTCAGTTGCCCGATTGTTCCCAACAAACCCAGAAATCAAACTAGTCCAAGCAACTACATTCCACTTAGGAATATTATCAAACACTTTCAGGCCTGAATTCATATCTGCACAAGAAGCATACATACTAAGCAAACAAGTAGAGGCATACTTGTCCAACTCAAACCCAGTTTTCACAATGCAATTATGAACACATCTTCCATAATGGTAAACAGTGATTACGGAACACGCTTTAAGCACAAATGGGAATGTAAAATTGTCCGGCACATAACCCCTTTGCAGCATTTCTCTATACATTATCAAAGACTCAACTGGGTTTTCACTATTGGAGTAGCCTCTGATCATGGAGTTCCAGATATAGACACTAGGCTGATTAATTTGGTGAAAAACTGACTTGGCATAAATGAGGTCTCTGGCCTCAGAATTTGCACAAAAATCAACAAGCCTACTTAATGGGATCACATTCTTAAAAACTGAGGTAGTGATCATAAGCCCATGTAATTGTTTCAATTCACTCATGGATTTGCATGTTTCCAACAGTGAGAGAATGGTGTTGTAGTGTTTCTTCATGAATCATGAGCCTTGTTATTCAAAGGAAAGACCTTGATGGGCAATGAAAAGCTTATATAGGAGCAAAATGTAACACAGCGTATGAAACACAGCTTCTATAGGAGCAAAATGTGAAAGCTCCATGGCAACATATCATTTGGCACAATGCAAAGAATACATGTTACCATAAATAAACAAAATCAATCATGAAACAAAGAATCAAATTTCATTGTATTTTTTACTACATATCATATCTCATTGTCTATGAGGAAAAAAAAATTCCATTACAAGAAGAAAAAAAAAATATGCTTTCTCTTTCTCTTAGAATGCTCTTCTTCCGCTTCTTCTTCTTCTTGTTCTCCATGTTACAGTCTCTATTCCCCATTTTTGCAATTCCTCTCTCTTAAACCCAAAACCCACCAAAACACCCCCAAAAAGGACTGCAAAAAAAAATAAAAATTACAATGATATTCCATTACAAGAAGAAAAAAAAAACTATGCTTTCTTTTTTCTTAGAATGCTCTTCTTCCACTTCTTCTTCTTCTTCTTCTTCTCCATGTTACAGTCTCTATTATTGGATAGCAAGCCCTAAGCTTCAAACCCCATTTTTTCAATTCCTCTTTCTTAAACCCAAAACCCACCAACACACCCCCAAAAAAGACTGCAAAAATACCTATCTTCTCCCACCACTGAGCCATAGCAACCCCAGAAAGGCCAAAACCCAAACCGCAGCAAAGCACATTGCTTTCCACCTCGCTTCCAAACAACAACCCCAAACCAGAAATCACCAAAATCCCATACAACAGAAACAACAAGAACAACTTTCTGTTTCTTTTCCTTCCGAACCCATCAAAGCCTCCTCCTCCTCCAAAACCCTTCCAAATTCCCAAACCCCCTCCATTGCCTTCTCCACTGCAAATTTCTTCGATAACCAGATCCAGCGGCTGAGCCAATATCTTGAGGTTAGACACGATAACGGGCATCAATTGGCGCAATAATCTTGGTAATCTTAGAGACCCAGCTCGCCTTTTATTCTTCCTTGCACATACAATCTGTTTTTGGGTCTGGATTTGATGACAGAGTGAAAGTGAAACGCTAAAAACCGGAGATTTTGGTACAAAGATGGCGTTTTGATTCGAAGTGTTTGTTTTAACAATGGGGTTGAAGAGGCAAAGAGAGGATTTTGAGAGGTCCGGTTGTGTTTGGAGGTGAAGGGTCTTCAGCATTGTACACTCCGCTCTCTGTTCTCAGAGATGAAGATTCGAAGAAGAAGAAAGGTGACCGTTTGAAGGAACAGCCTAGGGTGTTTTTGTTTTTGTTTTCCCTGACCTAAAAGAAAAAAGAAAAGAAAAGAACTTTTTTTTTTGCAGGGCCCTAAGCTTAAAACATGTGAAATTTTGTGTTATAGTCTTATAGGAAAGAATCTTCATATTAGAAATGTCTAATAATATATGTGGACCTTGTCTTCCTAAATTGACTTTTCGAAACTTGTTATATGGTTTTGTTTTGTTTTTTTTTGCCAATATATTAGGTAATTTACAAAACATAAGTTTATCTTAGATGAAATTGAAGACAACCCCAAGGATCAATTGAATTTTCAATGCTTTTGGAAGATCATGGAGTGGATAGGGAGGAGGGAGCTAAATCCATGGCACGTGGATTTGGTTGAAAATTGAACTGAATGATTAAGGTGATGCTGATGGAGAAAAAGTGCTTCAGGGTTCTTTAGTGGATGTGATTGTAGGACATAATATTATCATGGTGTTGGCTTCGATTCATCCACACTCTACAACTATGCTTAAATTGACAGGAGATGGCAAAAGGCAACCAACCCTCTTAATGGCATAACTACTTCACACCCAAAAACTTCAAGTTCAGCTTATTTATGTCCTCCATAAGATACAAGAGACTCCAAAGTTGTTTGTGAAGAATAATTTCTCTCTCTGTTCGAACTTTTATGCAAAAATGCAAGGCTTTGTCTTCCCTGGAATTGACAGGCCTGCCACAGGCATGAAAAGTGTTGATAGAGAATATCCTGCACACCGTTCAGTATCCGGTGCGAGGCAAAGCAAATGCGTCATGTCACCATCCAATGCTGGCATGGTTGCTGAAACTATAGAGAGAAGAAATAAGCACTGGTACCTCTTTCTTCTCCTGTTGTCAACTACTTGTATGCCAATACTGTCTTTCTGGTTCTGATGTATGTTTTCAAAACTATTCGATATTTTCTTGCAGGTTTGTCCGGACAAAAGTGGCAAGTGATTTGATCATACAAGTTGGAGATTCCAGCTTTCACTTGCATAAGGTATGCTACTATGTTGAAATACACTTCTTAATGGATCCAACAAAATTGACTTGAGCTATTATCAGGATCCGCATGTGAAATACAGATTGCTTTATCAAGAAAGGCTTTCTTTAATTGTAGGGAATTATTTTGCCAAACTAGGTCAGCATGCTTATAGTAATAGCTCTAGGATGTTGTTACAATCATTATCTGAGTCTTTCGAACCCATCTGCCTTGTATTGTTTTGTTTAAGCAGCCTATTGATACGGAATGCCTCTTAAAAATGCCTCAAGTGAAGTCAGGTGTCTGACATGTCGTATCGAAACATTTAGTCTCAAAAAATGGATCCAAATTTTGAATTAAGAAAATGAGATGTCATGTTCAGATTCTTTAAAGTTTGATTTACTGGTGTTTTGGTGCTCAGCTCCCGATGGTCATGAGAAGTGGACACTTGAACAGACTAGTATTCCAGAGAAGTGATGCAGAGAGAGAAACCAGCCTCAAAATTCACATAGACAATCTTCCAGGTGGAACCAAAGTTTTTGAATTAGTAGTCAAGTTCTGTTATGGTTGGAAGGTTGATCTAACAGCTGCCAACATTGCTCAACTATATTGTGCTGCACATTTCTTGGAAATGAGTGATGATTTTGAACAAGGAAATCTGATATCCAAAACTGAGGCTTTTTTGAGCTTTTTGATATTTTCATCATGGAAAGACACATTTAGGATTTTGAAAAGCTGTGAATCCATTTCTTCATGGGCTAATGAGTTTAAAATCACAAAACAAAGCGCCGAAGCCATTGCTTGGAAGGCCTGCACAAACGTTAAAGCATTTGGTTCTTCTGAGAATGATAATGCACAGTGCTTCAATGTTCTTCCAAATAATGCAGAGAACTTAAAGTTTGAAGATGAAGCTGACATTTGGTGGTTTGAAGATGTTTCATTCCTAAGAATAGATCATTTCATTGAAGTGATCCAAGCCCTAAAATGTAAAGGGATGAGAGCAGACCTTGTAGGATCATGTATAGCTCATTGGACTGCTAAGTGGCTTGCACGAATCACTTCTGGGCTTGAAAGAATGACTCCCAAGCATATGACCCATCAATTACTAAGAGTTACAGCTGAGTGCTTGATTAAGGTACTACCTACAGAGGAGAATTCAGTTACTTGCAATTTTATACTTCATCTTCTTAAGCTGGGGTTCATGACAAAGATAAATTCCGAATTGCTGAGCATGCTTGAAAGACGAATCGCTTTCATGTTGGATCAATGTCGTGCTCCAGATCTCTTGGTTAAGAACTATGGAGGTAAAGATAGTGTCCATGATGTAGGTCTTATTGTAAGGGTGGTGGTGTCCTATGTTTCTATAGTTTTGAGTAGTCCCACACCAAAAATGTTTGCCGTTGGAAGGTTGATAGATGGGTATCTTACTCTAGTTGCAAAGGATGAGAACCTTACGGTGAATAGTTTCCAATCACTTGTAGAAGCATTGCCGAAAGATGCTCGGTATTGTGATGACAGTCTTTATAGAGCCATTGACATGTACCTCAAGGTATAGAACTTTCTTCTCTTCCTTATTTTTTTGATATCATGCAGTAGTTAATGCATCTCATCACCAATTGAACCAGAAGAGGATGCAAATCTTACATTGCTATAGGCCTAACTGCAATGACTTAAACAACTAAGTAGCTTATTGTTTTCTTACTGCAGGCACACCCTAACTTAACAGAAGAAGAAAGAATGAGTCTATGTGGATCCCTGGAATATCATAGACTGTCACAAGAAGCACGTGAGCATGTAATGAAGAATGATCGGTTGCCCCTGAAGATTACGACACGGTTTATCCTTCTTGAACAAGTAAATATGACAAGGTCAATGACAGCTATTGGATCAAATTACCAAAGAACGAAGACTCAGGCAATTGTCGGAGTAAACAAAGGTTTAGGGAAGGGATGGATGAACGCCAAGAAGGAAATAAACTTGATGACAAAAGAGGTTGAGACAATGAGGGTGCAACTCAATGATTTGCAAATGTGTAAATTAAAGCTTCAAAACCGACTGAAAAGGTGCATTATTTAGAAGAGAAATGTGGCCTTCATCAGAAAGTTCTTGGTATTGTACTATTTTTTTTTATAACACAAGTTTGACACCTTAATAATCCAGAAAAAGATCTAATGGTCTGCATTAAGAAATTTTTATGCTATTTAACACCTTGAAATACCTCAGGCTCTGCTCTACCTTGAATTAAGACCACCAGAGAAGATCCACTTCTGGTCTTCTATTACCAGAAACTCAGGTGCAATTACAAACCGGTTGAACTCAAACAGTCTTGGTACTATCAAGAAAGATAGGCTAGGCTGACAAGGACCTTCAATCGGGAAACTGACAACAGCTCAACTAGACTAAGCAACAACTCAAAACAGTGTAAAATTCACAGTGCAAGAACATAAAAGAAATAGTTCATCAACCATATTTGGGTACGTGGTGACAAATTAAGAAGGAAAGAAATGTGTAAACTGAACCAGAATAGTTTTGGCTGGCACATTAATATGAATAAGCCTGCCAGACCAGAAAACATTGTGCCTTCCATAAATCTTAACACTAATCACAGAGGCAGGCTGATTTAAATGAAAGTTGTCGTTCAACATCACGCCACGTCTCCCTTGAAAATGTAATTAAATTAATGGCATGCTTCACAAGATTATAAATCGTGTGAGGATAGTACATGTTTGATCACCCAAAACAACTGACCTGTGGCAGAAGATACATATGAAACTTGAAAGCAAAAGCTTGGCTCCATTTTCCTGCTTGAGTTGCAATCCATCAACTTTCTTGATCAAGAAAAATTGGATTGTTGAAGGCTCCGAATCGCATCATGGAACAAGCTGGCAGCAGCAGCAGCAGCAGGAAAGGCAAAGGGGTAGCTAGTAGCAGCAGTGCTGCAGAAACTGACACTTCATGGCCATTCAAGTTAAAACTCAAACTAGCCAACTTGTGCACTGATCTCCTCAAGCTTGACCCCTCAAAGGAGTTTGAAGAGCATATTGTAGGGGCCATGAGTGAGGCTAACCGCAAGCTACTGGAGGACTGGAAACCAGTTTATATATCAGTGTGTGATGTAACTGATGCTGCTGATACTTGTCAAACTTACAGCATGAAGTTCGAAAAGAAAGAGTCTTACTGGTTTGGACCTGGTTTTTTTACTATTCAGCCGCCCCCTACTGACACTTAATGATTTGATAAAGGCCAGGAAACACTTTTTCTACACCATTGGGTCCTTTAGACGTATCGTGGACAAAAGGAAGCTTCTTGTTCTTTCAGATCGAGAGATTGGCCCTCGATGGTCAGACTACAAGAAGGACACACTTGAGTTTACTATTTTTCCTGTTCCAAGGTTGGATTTGCGCTCCTTGTTTTGAGAGGAAACAGAGATCAATACCCCAATGTACAATAATTTAAGGATTTTTAAATTCCACAAAATTATTTAAGATAATTAAATATAATTTATTAATATTTATTTAAATATTTAAATACTAATTCTTCACTACGTAAATAATAATTAAAACATAATATAAAGAGTATCGCCGAGCGGCTATACTATTTAAATATTCGAATATATTTGGAGTATAGCCTCGCGGCAATACTATTTAAATATTCGAATATATTTAAGGCGTATGGCCGTGCGGCTGTACTATTTTTCGAATATATTCAAAGCGTATAGCCGCTCGGCTATACTCGTTGAATATATTCGAGTATTTAAATAGTAGCCGTGCGGCTATACGCTTTGAATATATTCGAATATTGAAATAGTATAACCACCTGGCTATACCGTTTTGAATATAGTCGAGTATTTAAATGGTATAGCCGCGCGGCGATTCTCTTTGAATATATTCGAATATTTAAGTAGTATAGCCCCGCGGCGATACGGCGATTCTCTTTGAATATATTCGAATATTTAAGTAGTATAGCCCCGCGGCGATACTTCTAAAATATATTCGAATATTTAAATATTCGTATACATTTAAACGGTATAGCCGCCCGGCTATACGATTTAAATACTTTTGGTTTCCAAGTATTCTTGTAATAACCAGACGGTGATGATGAATGAACATTGAAGAAAATAAAGTAAACTTATTTCTCTTAGTGAATTAAAGGTGCAGACATGGAGCAGCTGAATGTGAACAAGAACACCAGCTCTTCTTCTTCAGAGGACTCAAATCCTTGTCCCATTTGCCTCGGACCCATAATTCAAGATTCTTACCTTGACAAGTGTTTCCGTACGTTCCCTCTCTCTCTCTCTCTCTCTCTCTCTCTCTCTCTCTCAATTTCTGTTTAGAATCTGGGAAAACTGAAAGGAAAGAAAAGACCCAGTTTTTGTAATTTTAGAATCAGTACTGGAGTGGATGAGAGGTTTCCACCTTTTGATTTCATATTTGTTTAGAATTTTCTCTGCAACCAAACAGTGGGATGGAATTTAATTTTTGTTTTTTGATGGTAAATCGGTGTATTGATATTTGTTTTCAGTTTTCATGAATTTGGTTTCTCCAAGGAATCTGAAAGGGTCATAAAGAGGCCAAATTGGTGAAAGATTTTCCTATAGTTGCCTGTAATGAATTTTTGCTATTAGTAAGACAGATGAAAGTTTAATTTATATTTGTGACTGATGAAAGTTTAATTTATATTTGTTTTTGGTTAAAAAGTTTAGGGCTTCCTTTTTCTATTGCTGAAAGCGGTCATGTCTTAAGTATTATGTTTCCTATAGTTGATAAGCTATAATGCTTGATAAACTCGGTCTTGTTGTATGAGTGTACCTGCACTGTATTATCTCAAACGTTGAGCCTCATAAATCGACAAATTTTGTGTTGCAGATAAGTTTTGTTACAATTGCATCTTACGTTGGACCAAAGTTGTTGCTCACAAGCAGTCTTGCCTGCCTACGTCTGTAAAGTGTCCTCTTTGCAAGGCCAGTTTGTTCATATGGCATTCTATTTATCATATTCTGCTCCATTTTGCTTCTTATGCTTCGAAAAATTACTGACCACACGACTGTTTGGGTATACCACTTCTAAATTTAGTCATAGTGCTGATTTTTAGTGGCTTGGCGCAGACTGAAAATTTATCAATAATACATGGATATGATGGAAGTTCTTTTCAGAAGCATTACATCAACCAGGATTCTGGGTATGGGTTCTGTTGTTTCATTTCTTTTCGCTTGTGTCTGTGTTGTAAATGTAATTTACTTATGCATGTTTCATTACTGGTATCTGCAGCTTTATCTTATCAAAAGATCACAAGTATAGATTACAATGCTATTATACTGAACCAGGTTTTGTGCTTGTCATTTGATTTATTGGTTGTGTTGTTTCTTATTTTATTTCCTGAGAATCGCTATCACCGGTCTAGATGTCTTCCAGTTAACTTTGTTTTTCAATCAGGTTTCTTAAATGACATATTTGATGTCTTGCGGTATTGGAAGTCCCACAAATATCTTCAGCCAAATCGCTGGCTCCAAAGTTGGTTGAGAAGGGAAATCCAAGCTCTGATGCAGGTCTTGAGTTCTTCTTGCATGAATTTTCTCTCTTGGTGACATAAGGCGCATTTCATTGTTTCAACATCCTAGAGACTTTCATTTGTTTTTGGCTAGAATCACCCAGTCCAACTGGCCAAATCATAAAACTATGTATATGATCTATCTTTATCGATGACGGACGTAGCAGGAAATCCGTTTTAATCCTCTTTATAGCTAACTTGCTTCTTTTGCTGCGTGTAGGAGGAAGATGTTGATATCATTATGCACCACATACATGGGCTGATTCATTCATCCCTGACTAGGTGAAATTTGTTACCATTTGGATCTCCAATTGAAAAATGATTTGATCATATTGAATGATGTTTCCTGGTTTAGTTACCTTCTTTTGGGTTCTTTTGGATGAGATTTGAAAAGGGATATACTATTTAAAGGCTTGAAAACCTGCAGAGTTTCCATAATCTTTGTGTCTGAACTTGCCTGCCTGAACCCTGCATTTTTTAGGCATGAACAAAAGGGTCAAACGAAAACACCTGAAGCCAAACAAAGAGAATTTCAAGAATCAATCTCTGATGCAGCAAGGCCTTTCCTAGCAGCAAGAACTGATCGGTTTGTAAATGAGGTGGAGCTATTTCTTGCTTCGGGTTTGAACATCGAAGCATACGATGCTGTGTGCATGCAACGCTTAGGTTGGAGTGCTCCAGGAGTAACTACGGAGCCTACAGAAGGAGAACTTGCCGAAAACAGACCTGTGATCCCTTACTTGTATATTTTTTATGACTCCGACTGTAGTGATTGAAAGTTTCATATTCACATGTATGAAACAATCACTTGCATTCTTGTGTTCACTGATATACACTGTACTTGTGTTGGATCCATAAGTGAACAGTTAACATCGGTACTTGAAAATATAAGAGCCCGAATTCCCATCTTTTTCATGGGCTTTTACTTCTTGGTCTATCCAACTTGTTTGACTCTTGTGGACTGCATTGACACCATCAATATAATTCAATTATGACGTAATGTTTTTTTTGGTTTTTGGTTTTTGGGATTTTCATTTTATGTTTTTTGATTAAGACTTAGATAACGGTAAATGAATTGACTATACACTGATGCTAGGACTCAAATTCATGACTTTTCCTGAGAGAACAATTGCTCCAAACCTATACCAGTGGGTTGTTTGATATTGACAATCTTTTGAGGTACTACAATGTGGTTATTTTTGAAGTTGAGATAGATAAGAGAAGAGGATGAGGGATGTAAGGGAGAGAAGAGGAGATGGATGCATAGAGATCTTTTTAAAATTAATTAAATAAAAACTGATGACTCCAAAATAGTTTTATCGACCTATAAACGTAACCCTACCAATCACAGGATTTTCCACTTTGCCCTTACTGACCCGACGCGACCAACTCATCCACTTTAAAGGGTAATCTCGTCATTGTGGTTGAAATAGAATTACAACGGCCCCGTTATGCGGAAATGTTTTTTTTTTTTTTGGTGAAAACTAAGGTATACCCCACGCGATTGCGGGACTAACCCTCGAGGTACTGTCGGGCGCAAAGCGGGGACCTCTCCCAACAAAGTCTGCTCTATTCGCAAGCGCCTGGGATCGAACCCAGTACCTCTTGTTTAAAGATCCAAGCCCCTTCCACTTGGACCAACTCCTGTTGGTGCGGAAATGTGTTTTTGGATATAATCTTATCATATGACTTATCAGTGCTGGGCTCGTCTGACAGAGCAGTAGCAGAGATGGCGATAGGCTCAAATTATGGAGCTTTCATGGAGAAATTCGTTCTGCAACCACACTCTTCATCACATGACCTTCCTTTGAGTGGCCTCACTTTTGCTGTCAAAGACATGTGAGCCACTCTGTAATCTATACATGTGCTCTCAAGTTTTCCCCAATATATCACTCTTTCATTTGGTTTATGCAGCTTAAATTCTATGTTTTCGTTCTTATTTGCCAATTTCAGATTTTGGGTTCAATCAATCACTGTTCTTGAGTAAACCATGTTGTGTGTTTCTGTGATTGTGTTCTGTGAGTGTTTGTACAAACTATAAATGATTTTTTAGCTGTTAGCTTGTATCTATGTGATTTGTGTGCGTTTATGTGTTTTGTAAAACCATATTGATAGGGTACTGAATTCCGCAATCTTTTCATGTGTGTATCTGTGGTAAAGCTAAAACTTTTTGTTTCCTCACTTAAATTTCAACTTGGAAGCAGATTTGATGTGGCTGGATATGTGACTGGATTTGGAAATCCTGATTGGGCAAGAACTCACCCAGCTTCCGAATCAACAGCTCAAGCTGTTTCGGCAATCTTGAGGGGAGGTGCCACATGTAATGGTAAAACTGTCATGGATGAAATGGCATACAGGTTAGTTGCTATTTTGATTACAAGAAATGGCATACAGGTTAGTTGAATTACTATTTTGGTTGCAAGAAATGGCAACAAATCAATCTATATAAGTCTATTTTCGTAGTATTTCGTATTTGAATAATGATACCGTGCAATAAAGAGCTGTAGGAAAGAAGGCTCTTAATTTTGTAACTTGACAGAATTTCACATTGTGTTCTTGGCAGTATAAATGGAGAGAACAAGCATTATGGTACACCCATAAATCCATGCGCACCGGATAGGGTGCCTGGAGGATCATCTAGTGGCTCTGCTGTTGTAGTAGGTGGAGACCTTGCAGATTTTTCCTTAGGTAAGTTATTCCTTGTTGTACGATCTTTTGTGTTTCTTGCCTCTTTTTGTTGAAGCACAAGAAACTCACTTTTTCAGGAACTGACACTGGAGGAAGTGTTAGAGTTCCTGCCTCATATTGTGGAATTTTTGGATTTCGGCCATCTCATGGTGTCATTTCTACTTCTGGAGTTATTCCTATGGCACAAAGTTTTGATACTGTGGGTAAGAAATCAAGTGTTTTTTATATTGCAGACTGGCTTGGAAAATGTTCCAGAGATTTTTGGATATGACAAAAAAACTCTGTTTCGGATTTCCCTCAATTTGATATAATGGAAAAATATAGTCTTTATTTCTATTTTTTGGAAGCAGAAAACTTCTTCCACTTGATGATTCATATGCCATCCATGGATTCTGCGTTTTGATTGATTTTTATTTGTGATACTTTTGTAAATTTAAGATTCAGTATTAGGAAATATGCTATTTTGCTGAAAGCTTTACTCTTGTGAATGATGTATCTCTAGTTGCAACATAAGAGCTTTATAATATGTAGCACTCTTGCAATTGAAAATCATCCCTTTGACACCAACTTCTGATCTAGGATGGTTTGCCAGGAATCCTGCGATTTTGAATAGAGTTGGAAGAGTGTTACTGCAATTGTCTGATATGAATCCTGTCGGACCTACTCAGTTAATCATTGCAGATGACTGTTTCCAGCTTTCAAGCATTCCAAGCAATCGAGTAAAACAAGTACTTGTTGACTCAGTTGAGAAGTTATTTGGGGGTAAGTGAATTGACCAAATTATTTTTTCCCAGCATTTTAAGTCACAAATATACCATCTAAATTGGAGCAGATATGTTATCACCTGAAAATCATCATCCTCTTAACCTGGTTATATTAGGTCTCTTGCTGAGATACAATAAAGACGCCATCATAATATGGAAAGAAGAAGCTCACTTATTCTATCTACTAATGCAGGTCATGTTATAAAGCATGCTAACCTTGGGGACGTTGTTAAGGACAAAGTTCCAAGCTTGAACTGTTTCTTGGATAAAGGAAATGCAGGTCAAGAGTATAATATTCCATCCTTGGCAGCCCTATCAAGTGCCATGCGTCTACTTCAAAGGTGCTGACTTGGTGGACTTGAATATAAAAGTGTGATTTCTCGATGTTGATTAATGTAATTCAATTTATCTTTGGTGTTGAGTTCTAAATATATCATTGGGAGCATAGGTATGAGTTCAAGAACAACCATGGTGAATGGGTCAGTACAGTCAGACCTGATTTAGGTCCTGGGATAGCAGAACGTGTATGGGAAGCTGTTCGAACAACAGATGAAAATGTCGATGTATGTCACTTTGTGAAGAATGAATTTCGTGCTGCTCTTACTGACCTTCTTGGGGTATTCTCTCTCTCTCTCTCTCTCTCTCTCTCTCTCTCTCTCTCTCTCATGCAAATCTTCTCTTTAGGATGTGATGATCCCACGCTTAAAATCAAATGAGTTCAAATCCTTATTATTCTTGACAAAGTTTCTTGTGGAGGTGTCAAGGATGCCTGTATGCATTAAGTAACATAGTATACAACGTTGTTTTTTACATGTCCTGCCTATGCACATGGACATTATTTGGTCGGATTCTCTTGAATGTTCAGAACAGTAGCTCTTTTCCATTTGACTCACTTTTCTTCTCTGAAAAACGATTTTGGGAGAAACATGTTTTGTAGAAGGAAAGAAGTCTTTGACAGAAGGCTTGCAGCGGGTGTTTGGGGGTCTAGATTCAAAGAGTGGGTGTATGCCCCTTCAAGGGGCAGGTCTGGTGGGATTGTGGTAATGTGGAATTCTCAAACTGTCTCCATTTCTGACTATGAAATTGGAGAATTTTCTGTTTCTATAAGAATTATAGATGTCTCTGGGGGGGACTGGTGGTTATCAGGTATTTATGGCCCTTGTCAACCCAGGGACAGGAGAAGATTTTGGGAGGAATTAGCAGGGTTGTTCGGCTTGTGTGGTCATAAATGGTGTATTGGGGGGGACTTCAACGTGGTTAGGTTTGTCTCTGAGAAATCTAACGGAGGAAGGATGACAAGTAGTATGAAGAACTTCAACGATTTCATTGACGACACAAATCTGCGAGACCCTTGTCTCTTGAATGCTGCCTTTACATGGTCTAATTTTAGAGAAACTGCAGTGTGCAGAAGACTTGATAGATTTCTCTTTTCAGAAGCTTGGGAAGATTCTTTCCCCCAGGTTAAACAATTGGCGTTGGCAAGAGTCACCTCTGATCACTGTCCCATTCAGCTGGACACTTCTAATTTGAAATGGGGTCCCGGGCCCTTCCGTTTTGAAAACATGTGGCTTGAACACCCTGATTTTAAGAAGAATTTCAAACTGTGGTGGGGGGAAGACCAGATATTCGGGTGGGAGGGCTACAAATTCTCTAGAAGGTTGAAGACTCTAAAACAGAAAATGAAGAACTGGAATAAAGAAGTATTCGGGAATTTGGTCGCTGCAAAGATTGCGGCGGAGGCTAGAATTGCGGCTCTCGATTTGTTGGAAGGGCAGGGTGGGCTAGATAATAATCTGAGAAAAGAAAGGGAAGATTTATACATGATGGTGAGTGAGTTAATCCACAAAGAAGAGGTGAAGTGGAGACAAAGGGGGAAAGTTCAGTGGGCGAGAGAAGGGGACAGCAACACTAAGTTTTTTCATCGTATAGCAAGCGGCAGAAGGAAAAGGAATTTTATTCAGAAACTGGAAGTAGAGGGATCTGGCATGGTTGTCAGTGAAGGGGAAATAGAATCGGAGATCATTAAATTCTTCAAAGATCTTTACAGTAGCAACGTAGAGGCGGGGTGGTGTTTAGAAGGTTTGAATTGGAATGCAATCAGTGTCGAGGAGGCTGAATGGCTGGAAAGGCCATTTGAAGAGGAGGAAGTTAAAAAGGCTGTTTTTGACTGTGGAACAGATAAATCACCAGGTCCAGATGGTTTTTCCTTGCTTCTGTTTCAATCTTGCTGGGATATTGTGAAAGAGGATCTTATGAAAGTCTTGGTGGACTTCTTCCATAGTGGTATAATTAATGCAATCACTAACGAGACTTTTATTTGCCTTATTCCCAAAAAGAAGGAATCCATCAAAGTTAGTGATTTCAGGCCTATCAGCCTAGTGACAAGTTTGTACAAAATAGTGTCGAAAGTTTTGGCTTCTAGATTGCGGGAAGTTTTGGGCAGCACTATATCTACCTATCAAGGTGCTTTTGTGAGGGGTAGGCAGATTTTGGATGCGGCCTTGATTGCCAACGAGGTGGTGGAGGAGAGTCGAAGACTAAACAAAAAAGGATTGGTGCTTAAAATTGACTTTGAGAAAGCATACGATCATGTGGAATGGAGATTTGTAGATGAGGTTATGACTAGGAAAGGATTTGGGGACAGGTGGAGAAGATGGATTCGAGGATGCCTCGAGTCGGCTAATTTCTCTGTGATGATTAATGGAAGACCGAGGGGTAAATTTAGGGCCTCAAGGGGTTTGAGACAGGGAGACCCACTATCCCCATTCTTGTTCACTTTGGTAATAGATGTGTTAAGCAGAATATTGGAGAAAGCACAAGCTGCTGATCAGTTTCATGGTCTTTTTCCGGGGCATGAGACTGTGGAGGTCTCCCATCTTCAGTTCGCCGACGATACCATACTTTTCATAGAGGATAAGGAAGAGTACTGGAATAATCTACTTCAGATTCTGGATTTGTTTTGTTTCATGTCGGGAATGAAAATCAACAAATCGAAATGTTCTCTAGTTGGCATTAATCTTGACGACGGGTTGGTGAATGGGCTGGCAGGGGCTTGGGGATGTGAAGTGGGGACCTGGCCTATGTCGTATTTAGGCCTTCCCCTAGGTGGGAACCCCAGAGCAATCAGGTTCTGGGACCCCGTTGTGGAAAAGGTAGAGAATAGATTACAAAAATGGAAGAGAGCATGCTTATCCAAAGGGGGAAGACTCACAATGATTCAAGCAGTGTTGAGTAGTATTCCGATTTACTACATGTCCCTTTTTAGGATTCCCATTGGAGTAGCCAATAGAATTGAGAAGCTTATGAGGGATTTCTTGTGGGAAGGTTTGGATGGGAAAAAAAACCACGCTGTAAGCTGGGAGGTGGTGGGTAAAGCAAAACTCTTTGGAGGACTAGGGGTGGGTTCGTTGAAAGCTAGGGGAGAGGCTCTGCGGGCCAAATGGTTGTGGCGGTTTCCTATCGAAACTCATGCTCTTTGGCACAAAGTAATCAGAAGTATTTATGGAATGGATTCAAATGGGTGGGATGCCAAACCTGCAATTCGAGGATCTAGTCGCAGCCCTTGGAGAGAGATTTCTAGTGGTTTTGAGTTGTTCCTTCAAGGCTGCGTCTTCGTGGTAGGAGGTGGAGTTAGAGTCAGATTTTGGGAAGATGATTGGAGCCGGGGGGGTGTTCTAAAAGACGTGTTTCCAAGACTATTCAATCTGTCCAGGAAGCAAAACCACAATATTTCCTCCTTTACGGACTCGATTGGATCCCCTCTCACTTGGGACTTTGGTTTTCGAAGGAATCTAAATGATTCAGAGATTGTGGAGGTGGCTAGATTGTTGGACTTACTAGAGGGAGTGAGATTGGCCACTTCCAGATTGGATAAGAGAAGATGGAAGCTTGATCCATCCGGTGTTTTCTCCTGTCACTCTCTCTGTACTCATATTCAGAATAGGGGCGAAAGGGAGGTTTTCTCTCCGTACACTCAAATTTGGAAGGCCAAGACTCCTCCGAAAGTTAAGATCTTTGTTTGGCAAGCGGTGTTGGGAAAACTAAATACAGGTGATTCACTACAGAGACATTGTCCCTATATGTGCCTTAGTCCGCATTGGTGTGTTTTATGTAATATGGCTGGGGAAAGCGTGGACCATATCCTCCTTCATTGCCCTTACTCTCTAAAGGTGTGGGAGACGTTATTGAAGGAAGTTAACACAGTGTGGGTAATACCGAAAGGATGCTTTGACCTTTTTTCCATCAGATTTGATGCTTTGGGAAGGGGAAAGAAGGCTAAAATTTTATGGGGCAGCTTGATGCAGGCAGTGGTCTGGAATCTTTGGTTGGAACGTAATAGGAGAATTTTCGAGGATTATAAGGGAGTGGGAATGGTAGAGTTATGGGAAAGAGTGAAGTTTTGGGCTGCTCTTTGGGCATCAACTTCTCACGCTTTTAAGGATATATCCTATCCTACAATTATGCGAAATCTTTTAGCTGTAGTATCTTAAGGAGTGTCTCATGTCTGGCTGGTTTTCTGTGTTGAGTGGCTTTGAGTCTGTTTTTTGGCAAGTGTGTCTGTTTGGTCTGTGTCCTAAATGTCATCATTTTTTCCATTCAATTTTGAATAAAAAGTGTTTCTATTCAAAAAAAAAAAGAAGGATCAGAGCACAAGACTATTTGTACCATTGCTTTAAAGCTTTGATTAATCTTACTTGAATGAATCTGGCTCATCCAGTTCCTGTATATGCCATCTCAAACATAAAGGGAGCCTTTTTCAATCATTTTGAAGAACTGATTCATTCCTACTCAAAATACCTAACATTGTTCCCCTGCAAAAACAACCTTAAGCGAGGATTTTCCCTCAGGCCAAAAGAAACAGAATGAGAACTTTCCCATGTCATTTCAATGGTCTTGTTTTCTCAAGAACCAAATGAAGAATATTGTTCATATTTCCTCATAATTTTCAGATTGGTTAGAGTAGACAGACTGAAAGATTGTTATTTGTTGCTACTCGGTGTTAGTTTTGAGATAATTTGGTAACAGAGATAACCTTGCATCTTACTTTCCTTTATAACCCATTGGCTTGATTTTCTTTTAGGATTTTGGTGTCCTCGCAATTCCTACAGTTCCAGGGGCTCCCCCAAAACTGCAAACAGATCCTACTACACTGGAAACTTTCCGTGCCAGGGCTTTTAGCTTGCTATCCATTGCCGGAGTATCTGGGTTCTGCCAGGTTTTTTAGCCCTCTCTAGATCGATCTCTCTCTCTCTCTCTCTCTCTCTCTCTCTCTCTCTCTCCATGAGTGCATGTTCGGGCATGAGGCCAATTGTGACACATTACAATCTTTTCCTTTCTCAATTACTTCAAATATCTTGTGAAAGTATGTCATCTCTTTCTACATATTTGCAGGTTAGCATACCACTAGGCCTGCATGATGACCTACCTGTTTCAGTTTCCTTGTTGGCAAAACACGGCTTGGATGGCCTCCTGCTCAATCTTGTTGAGACTCTTTATGACACTCTCAAAGAACAGGTTGGAAACTTGGGGTTGCTGACAAGATTATGAGTTGCAATTTCTGATCTCTTCCTCACGTATGAGTGTAAGTTCTGATGTCTAAAATAGACAGGAATTTCCCCGCTTTCATCCTTGTGTATGGCTCATGAACAAGTAGTTATACTAGCAAACTCATTTGAGCCTGACCAATTGGCCCAGTTTCAAGCCGTTAAAGCTTTTATAACAGCTTTTATGGTCACATTTCCAGATACTAATAATATCTTGTGAGAGCACCCAAAAGTAGGTAAAGAAATAAGGCCCTTGTGGTTCTTCTGCACAATAGGCCATTAAAAATTATGAAGAACCTACTTCGGTTGCTCTTGCTGCCATTAAATTTAAACTAGTAGAAGTGACGTAAGTAGTGGCAAATGCCTGGTCAAGGAAGAAGGCGGGGGTAGAGGTAGGTAGTAGGTAAGTTAAACAAGAGCGGGCGCTCTCTTCAGCCTCTGTCAACCTACTTTGGTTGCTCTTGCTGCCATTAAATTTAAACTAGTAGAAGTGAAGTAAGTAGTGGTAAATGCCTGCTCAAGGAAGAAGGTGGGGGTAGAGGTAGGTAGTAGGTAAGGTAAACAAGAGTGGGCGCTCTCTTCAGTCTCTGTCAACCCTGCGTTCAACAAATGACAACTTGTATTTTATGGGCTTCTCACTTCATTAATCTTTTATTTTTCGGTCAATAAAAGCCCCTACGACGCTATGAGTGGTTTATGAGTGGTTCTGTGTCCGAAAACCCAAGCGCCACTTACACTCGTGCATAGCACGGCCCGCTCTCGCAACATCTGGAATTATGGATGGAATTTGTATACCATACAATTTTATATACTTTCCTTTGTTTCGTCAATTAGTGCTTTGCAGAAAAACTTGCATGTTATGGGGCTAACATTATTTTGATGACTCCAACCGATCACGTGGATAAAGATTCCACATGACGAAACTGGATGGTTGTGATTGGTATGAATCTTGTATCTTGTACCAACTGATTCGATCAAATCCGATTCAAATTAATTTTTTTTTGAAAAAGGTAAAGATTAAGCAAGACCTCTAAATTCACAAGCTGATATAATTTGATCATTACGAAATTGATCGTAGAAAGCCAATCAAATTCAGTTGGATTCTAGCTTCAAATTTGTATTTGAATTGGATTCAATCTAATATCGAATTGGATGCAAACTTGCCAAAAACCCCGTATTACTTATGTAACAAAACAAAAAGGTATTTGTTTTGTATTGGTATTTTTTTTCATAATTAAGAAAAAAAAAATACGGTCAGTGTACGAGACTGACTTGGCAGAAAAGAACAAAAATACTGTCGCCGTATTGCCCTTTCCTCACCAACCCAGTGACCTGGTCCCCGCGGATCGTTGATCCACGCGCCACCACCTGCATGGCAAAAAGAAGAAGCCAAACAAACGAATCGGAAGGATCCCTTTTTATAAGAAGGCCAACAGTGTTGAGTTGATTAGCAGCAGCAGCCTAAATGCGACCTTTACAACGAGTGTGGATCAAATAAATTCATATTCCACATTTAACTGATTTAATTCAACACACTCTCACATTCATAGTCAGTGAGATTGTTTGTTTGTTTATAAGTAATTAGCACCAAAAGAACCACAGAGAAATTCAATCAATAACCAGATTGGTTGTGGAAGTCAACTGAATTTTTAAGAGAATAATGGAAGTGAAAGCTAGAGCTCCAGGGAAAATCATCCTCTCGGGTGAACATGCTGTTGTTCATGGATCTACAGCCGTTGCTTCCTCCATTGACCTCTACACCTATGTCTCTCTTCGCTTTCCCACTCCTTCTGGTACGCTCTATCTCTCTCTTGCTATTTTGGGTTTCTTCTTCTTCTTCTTCTTCTTCTTTTTTCTTCCATCTATCGATTTATATATTTGGTTTGTTCTGGTTTTGGTGCCTTTAGGATTGGTTTTGATTTGGGTTATGGTTGCGATGTCATTCGGAAGATACAATTTTGAGTTCTGTTAACCGTGTCTCTCCTTGTTTGTATTTTCTTTTGGATGAGATGATTGTGTATCTGAAACTTTTTTCTACTTGGGTTCATGGGTTTTTCTTAAGCTTTGTGATTTTACCAATGCAAAAGTTTGTGTCTTTTTGTGAGCTTCAAATTTGCCTATTGGGTTGCTTGAAATCATATGATTAAAAGAAACCCTTTTGATATGATGTATAAATCTATTTCGTGGATTACTCTGCTAGCCTAGTTGCAGGGTTTAAGTGATATTAGAAATCTGATTACTTTCTGGGATATGTTTTCAAGAACGATAACTTTTTTGATCTGGAAACTAATGGGATTCATATCCTCAAGTTATATTGAATGAATTTCTCACTGCTGTTTCATGCTTTTTTTCTTAGACAATGATGATGCACTAAGACTCCAGTACAAGGATGTTGGATTAGAGTTTTCATGGCCAATTGGTAGAATTAAAGAAGCACTATCAGAAAAAGATATTCCCAACTCATCAGTGCCAACCTCATGTTCAATAGAGTCACTTAGATCACTTGCTGCTTTAGTTGATGAACTAAAGATTCCAGAAGCAAAAATTGGACTTGGTGCTGGAGTGTTGGCTTTTCTTTGGCTGTATTCATCCATCCAAGGGTGTGTGTCCATTTTTTGTTTATATAGTTGAATGCTTTTAATTCTTGGATGTTTATTTTTATTTTCTTAATTTCTAATTTCTTCTCTTTATGGATCAGATATAAGCCTGCGACTGTTGTTATTACTTCAGAACTTCCTTTGGGTTCAGGCCTGGGTTCATCTGCAGCACTTTGTGTTGCACTGTCAGCTGCTCTTCTTTCTTTCTCAGACTCTGTAAATCTGGATTTGAGCCACCAAGGGTGGTTAACTTTTGGGGAAAGTGAACTTGAATTGCTGAACAAATGGGCTTTTGAAGGTGAAAAGATTATCCATGGAAAGCCATCTGGAATTGACAATACAGTTAGTACATATGGTATGTTAGTTTTTGACTTGTGCCAGATAATTATATCTTCTTGCATCAATATCTCATTTCTTCTTCTTTTGCTAATCTTCTTTCCTGGAATCTTTGAATTATAAAATGCTGGAATTAATTATATATATAGTTTCTCTGGATTAAATATGAAGAGTATGTCATGATGTCCAAAAGCTAATGGTAAAAGGGAAATTTGTCAATGCTGTCCAAGCCACCATTTTTCATTCATGAAGGAACTACTTTACTAGTGCTTGCTAGTACCTTGATGATAATCCACCTAGATCCACATTGTATCCTGAAGTTCTTAATAGGATCTCTTTTGGGTTCACCCAGAACTGTGTACTTTTGAATTTCTGCATTTCAAGCTGCTTGTCAGCAGCCTCAAATAGGTAATCAGATATTTAGGGATACTATAGCATTAACCTTAACCACTTAAACCAATTGATCCTAAATCTTCATCTTAAGTATGCTTAGTTATTCTATATATAGGCTGTAAAAGACTACACTATTTTGCATAATGTTTAAGAAAACTTCAATTTGAAGATTGAGTGGGATTTTATAGGGGTCATGGATTCTCACTTTGGGTTCATCATGATTAATGTAGAAACTTCTGAATAACCTATAATTATAGTGATTCAGGTTGACATGTTTATTAGAGTTCAAATGTTAACCATGGAGTATTTAGTTTCCTCATCTGTTTGAGGGAAGGGATTAACTGCATTTGATTTTCTAACACAAAATTCTTATGCAACAGGCAATATGATCAAGTTCAAATCAGGTAGCCTAACTCGCATCAAAACAAATATGACACTGAAAATGCTTATTACCAACACAAAAGTTGGGAGGAACACAAAGGCCTTAGTTGCTGGTGTTTCAGAGAGGACCTTAAGGCATCCAGAAGCTATGGCTTCTGTGTTCAATGCAGTTGATTCTATCAGCACGGAATTGGCTACGATCATCCAATCACCCGCTCCTGATGATCTCTCCTTAACTGAAAAGGAATCAAAAATAGAAGAGTTGATGGAAATGAACCAAGGTTTGCTCCAATGTATGGGGGTCAGCCATGCTTCAATTGAAACCGTTCTTCGGACAACGCTCAAATACAAGTTAGCTTCGAAATTGACAGGAGCTGGGGGTGGAGGTTGTGTTCTCACGCTATTACCAACCTGTATCCTTTTTGTGATTCCTTTTATTTTTAGTTTCTTATCTTTACAGTTCATGATGAATGCCTTGATATGGTTTAATAAGCTTGAATTTTTCAAAACTTTGCCAAAATTAAACTATCTTGCTTAAAAAGTCTTTGATTATATGAAGCTAGATAGACTAGCTTGCCTAAACAATTTTCTTATTTTCTCATGTCTTGAACATTGTTTCTCTTAACCACATGAATCAGTGTTATCAGGAACTGTTGTTGATAAAGTAACTTCTGAACTGGAGTCTTGTGGGTTCCATTGTTTGACGGCAGCCATTGGTGGAAATGGTGTTGAAATTTGCTTTGGCGATTGATCCTAACCTTTTCGCTGAATCTCAAGTGGTGAGAGTAAGATCTAGCTCCATTGCTGACTGGTAGGACAGAAGCACTGTTTGTTCTGTAAATTATCTTCTTGTGTTCTGCATTCAAATCTGATCGACTTTCGTCTTCAAGCTTATTTGACGGGAACTCTCAGCTTTTTTGTTCCAAATTAATAATTTAAATATATGCCAATTCGGTGCAAGTCAATCAATGTAACTTTTGTCATTCGTGATATTGGAAATAAATGTTTTATCTTCGGGGAAAGTGATGCAATGCCTATTGTTACATTCAACTTTGCAAATACTGCATAGATTTCTTGTGACACAAACAAGATCGTTGCATTGCATATATATGCTATTCCTTGAGGCAGGACTTGAATTGTTTGTTAATGTTATGCTCTGCAGAGCGTGGAATTGTTTTTACATCTCAAACTGACACCCAGCAACATAACCAAAACTCTTTTCATATTTTATTAGCAGAAAGCACATATACAGACCATTTCATGATCATTCTCTACATATACAACTCTTACCCTTACTAGGAAACAGAAACTAGCTAATACACTATGACTCAAAAGACCCAAAACCACCGGCCGAAAGACTCCTCCACAAACCCCATCAAGCATTCACTACAGCCCCACCTGCAAAATCACAAAATAGCCATTAAAATACAAACAAGGGTGGGTGCTCATCAGACCAAATGCATTATCACAGACAGATCATTGCCATTGGGATGGAGAACTTGGCCAGTGTAACAAGAAGAGAAAGCATTGTCAGCAAGGAAGACGTAAGCCAGCGCAACCTCATACGGCTGTCCAGCTTGCTGCATTGGCACTTCGGAGCCAAACTGTGTAATCTCCTCCTCATCGAAAGATGCTGGAATCAGCGGTGTCCAGATGGGTCCCGGAGCTACACCGTTGACACGAATGCCTTTGCTTACCAGCTGAAGAGAAAGTGCTCTAATGAATGCCACAATGGCTCCCTTGGTGGAAGTATACTCAAGCAGCTGGGCGTGTCCCTTGAAGTTGTAGGCGTTCACTGATGTTGTGCAAATTATGGAGCTGCCTTCTTTCATGTGCTTCAAAGCATGCCTAACACATTCACAGTAAAAATGTTAAGACTATGTTTGGTGTAACATTCTGGTTTTCTATTTGTATTTACCTGGTCATGTAGAAATGAGAAAATATGTTGGTTCTGAAAACCCTCTCCAAACGGGGCTCATCAATCTCTTCCACAGAGCCCGCATTGTTGATGAGGATATCGATGCGGCCATAGGCTTTTGCCACCTCCTCCACAACCTTCTTGCAGTTTTCACCATAACCCAGATCGGCTGCAAGGGCCTTGGGGTCCTTGGCATCAGAAGTCTTCACCTTTTTTATCATTTGGAGTGTGTCATTTGCGTCCTTGTCCTCCTGCTCCTTCACATATGTGAAGGCCACAGTTGCACCCTCTTGAGCAAACAGATAGCACACAGCTCGACCAATCCCAGAGTCCCCTCCTGTAATTAGCGCCACCTTCCCCTGCAAAACAAAATTATTAGCTACTAATTAATATTAAGCTCTTAACTAAGCTGAATTATATGAGATGTTACTTGGAGCTTATTGGAGGGCTTGTAATCTGGGTTTGTGAACTGAGGATTGGGGTCCATGACATGTTCTTTCCCAGGCTGAGTTCCTTGTTTCTGAGGAGGGAATTGCTGCTTGACACCAGAAGCCATTGTTCTTCCACAAACTCTTAAAATGGGACTTTTCAAAGAAGTTGCCGGAGAGTGTGGTTTAATATTCCAGTAATTTCCGAGGTGGGTTTTGGGAGAGAAGGAAGAAAAAGCTGACGATCCATTGTCACCTGTCAGGCTGTCAGTGTTTCTCTCTCTATCTTTTTCTTTTCTCTTTCCTTCGAAAAATTGGGAAAGCATGCAAGTGGTACACAAGATTTGGACAATGGGATTATATAGGGACATTGAATTTGACACGTGGCAGGGAGGCAGTGTCAACGTGTCCTGACAGTCGCATGCAGCGTGCACATCTGTGGAAGCGGACAGCTTTGTTGACATGGCCATGCCTGTAATCAAGAGGGGCTTTCTAGAGTGACCAAGATGATGGGCTAATAATATCCTCTGAAACATTGACATAACTCACACCAGAAGATCAAATCAGAGAAGGAGGAGAAAAGAGGAGGGCTTGAAGAAGAAAACTTGAATTTTTTGTCACAGCTAAACGTTTGACTGCTGCGATTGGTGTGGAAATTATTAAGATCTGAGCTACATTGCTGACTGATCTGTAAATTAGTTTGTTGTCTTCTGTATTTTAAATCTGAGTGCATCATGCATGTCGCCTTCAAACTTTTGAAGGGAACACACAGCTTCTTTTCTTTTTTTTAATTTTTTTTTTGTTCTTCTCTGCTGTGATATTAGAAATAAATGTTCATATATTTTGGGGAGTGATGTAATTAAATTATTTTAACATTCAACTTTGTAAGTCCTGCACAGAGATCATACATTTATGAACTCTTAAGTAACTTATTTGTTTTATTAGCGAAGAGTACCATACAGTATGTACATACATTTCACCTGAGCTATAATAGATACAGAAGCAGACATTTACAAATTAACCCATTTCATCACCATTCTCCGCATACACAAATCTTACCCTTACAAGAACATAGTACCAGCTACTTTATTATGACCCAAAACACAAAAAGCCACCACCTAAAAGATTCCTTCTGTCAAACCCCATCAAGCATTCACAATAACCCCACCTGCAAAATGATAAAAATTGGCAAATTTTTTAATAAATATGTAGCAAAATTACTATACAAACAAGGGTGGGTGCAGCAGCACATCAGACTAAATGTTTATATGAACAAATAGTCATTACCATTAGGATGGAAAACTTGGCCAGTATAGTAGGAAGAGAAAGCATTGGAAGCAAGGAAGACGTAGGACGGGGCAACCTCAAACGGCTGCCCAGCGCGCTGCATTGGCACTTCAGAGCCAAACTGTGCAGTCTCTTCCTCATCGAAACATGAGGGGATCAACGGGGTCCAGATCGGTCCAGGCGCCACACCGTTGACACGTATGCCTTTGCCTACTAGGTGAAGTGCAAGTCCCCTAATGAAGGACACAATGGCACCCTTTGTTGCAGTATAATCAAGCAGCTTATTATTTCCTTTGTAGGCCACCACTGATGTTGTGCAGATTATGGAGCCCCCTTCTTTCATGTGCTTCAAAACATGCCTAGCACATAATAAAAATGTTGTCAATGTCAAGGGCTTCGTTTGGTAACGCTTTCGTTTTCGTTTCGTTTTTATTTACCTGGTCATGAAGAAATAAGAAAATATGTTGGTCCTGAACACCCTCTCCAAACGGGGTTCATCAATATCTTCAACTGAGCTTGCCTTGTACTGCTCGGCACCATTGTTAACCAGAATATCAATGCGTCCATAGGCTTTGGCCACCTCATCAACGACCTTCTTGCAGTTTTCATCATAACCCAGATCAGCTGCTAGTGCCATGGGGTCTTTGGCATCAGAAGTCTTGGCCTGCTTGATCATTTGCATTGTGTCACGTGCGTCCTTGTCCTCCTGCTCCTTCACATATGTGAAGGCCACAGTTGCACCCTCTTGAGCAAAGAGATGGCACACAGCTCGCCCTATCCCAGAGTCGCCACCTGTCACTAGCGCTACTTTCCCCTGCAAAACTTAATTGTTAGCTAGTAATTAAGTTTAATTAAGCACCTATCACTATATATAACAAAAATTATAAGTACTTGGAGCTTATTGGAGGGTTTGTAATCTGGGTTTGTGAACTGAGGGGTGGGGTCCATGGCATGCTCTTTCCCAGGCTGTCTCTCTTGTTTTTGAGGTGGGAATTGCTGTTTACCACCTGAAGCCATTGTTCTTCTCAAACTTTTTAGAACAAGAAAACACTGATGATCTGCTTGTTAAGGTTCTTGATGAGGATAGTGATCAACTATATTTTGTGGTGGTACAAAATGTTGATATGGGGTTATATAGAAATTTGAATTGACAGGTGGAAGAACAGGTGGCAGGGAGCTGTTTCTACGTGTCCTGACCTTTACATGCAGAGTAAACATATGCGAAAGGGGACAGTTGTGTTGACATGGGCATGCCTGAAAAAATCAAGAGACTTCCTGGAGTGATCAGGATGGGGCTCATGACACTAGAGAAGGAAACAGAGAAAAAAAAAATGAAGTCTTGAACAGAACATAAAATTTGTCTTGAACCAAAGCCCTTGATTGTTTGAGGTAACTGATTTTTCTTCGATGTTTTTTTCTGGGTTTTGGGGGCATGCCTTTGCATGTTGTCCACGTGCTAGGCCAACTGGCCAAGCAACTGATACTTGTCAATCTGACACGAAGCTTATCGTTGTGCAATTGATCAACGCTTAAACACCTGGAAGCGCTTTCAACTCAAACCACCTCATAAAATAATCTCAGGTCTTTCACTTCTTCCACCTCTCTCTGTCTCTGGTGCATTCTTATCTAAAGCTTATTCTTTAACTTTCACAAAAGGACTTTCTGCATTAATTGAAACCATGGCCTCCCTGATCAGACTTAGCTTCTTCTTCTTTGTGCTTTTTCATGCCTTTCCCTTACTTTCTCCCTTTGTGCATGGTAGTGGTATGTGCTCACTTTCCCTTTGCCTTTCTCTTTCTTGAAGTCATTCTTTTCTGTGAGGAATTATTTGAGTTGTATATATACTCTGCTCTCTGCATGCATCATGCATGTATAGCAGGACAAGCTTGATTATTAGTTATTAGATTTTGCTAATGATATTGGACAGCTTCAGTTGGTGATTAAGTTAGTTGGAGGACCAAACTTGTAACATTTGGTATGATTTCAGACTTTATGTGGCTAACCAATTCTGAAGCTTACTACACACCTATTTGCCTGCAGATGAAGATGAGGACAATCTTCTCCAAGGCATTAACAGTTACAGAAGATCACTAAACTTGCCAGCCCTCGTCAAGAACGATAACGCAGGTTGCCTAGCAGATAGAATTGCTGATGATATAGAGGACCTGCCTTGCAGCAGCCCCACCAACGGTGCTAACATTCTGCCTAGCTCTCAGAGTCCACTTGCCAATCTTCCCAAGCACTTAAGGAAGTGCAAAATCGATGCCAACAGCACACAAGATGGGGTTATTTTGCCTGTTTGTGTGCCTAAATTGGTCCCAACTCTGGTGCTAACCAATTATACTCACTCTCCAAAATACGCAAAGTATCTGAACGATTCGAGGTTCAGTGGGGTTGGGGTTGGCTCTGAGGATAATTGGGCTGTGGTGGTTTTGGCCTCATCTAACCCAAGTGGAAACTTTGCTAATGCAGCAGGATCTTTAGTTTCAATTTTCGGTTTTGGACATTATTTGGTCTTCTTGTTGTTAGGAGTATCTCTTATCTTGGTTAGCTGAAGTTGAAGTTGTGTCTTTTGCTCTTGTTCTTGTTATGTTGTACCTTATATGCAACTTTTGGTAGTTTTAAATGAGTGTATTTTGATGGAAGGATTCAGATTGTATGTAATTCCTGAACTATATATGTTTTTATTTCAATCTGTTTTGCATTAGATATGTAATTATGCAGGCAGGGCATCTTTGTAGTCTCTCAGCTAAAAGGTACATAGATCTTAACTACGCCATTTCTGAATAAGATTTGTCAACCAGAATTCTCTAGGCAAGAGAGAGAGAGAGAGAGAGTTAGAGAAGCATCTCTATCCACTTTTCCAAGTTATGTATAATGAACAAAAAGAGATTGCACCTGGAACAACTTGGCAGCCAAGGCAACTCACAGAAAGCAAAGAATTGAGGAACAATATTCAGCTCAAAGTCTCTAAAAGAAAATCTTAACCGCAAGCCATCTTCTTATTCTTTCCCTCTGGTGTGTTTTTATGTACCCTCTTGTCACAAGGCCTTGTCCTAGCAAGCACTGAAACCATGGCCTCTTATAAACTGAGCTTGTTTCTCCTGGCGCTTATCAATTGCTTGCTCTTTCTTTCTCATCCAGCATCTTGTAATGGTATTCTCTTTCTCTGTCTCCCATTTTTCCATATTTGTTTTAGTCTGTTTGAAGAGAAACAGAAAGTGTACTTATTTCTTGGTTTGCAGAAGACGAAGACAAAATTTTCCAAGGACTTAACAGCTTCAAGCAATCACTAAAGAAGAACAGCAATGCAGAATGTCTAGCTGATGAAATTGCAGATGAGCTAGAAGACCAGCCATGTTCCAGTGCAGACGACTACGCCATAGAGCCAGGCAATGGCCCAAAATTCCCAAAATTCAACAAGCTCATCAAGAAGTGCCACATAGACATCAACACCACGACAGATGGCATCATCTTGCCCTTTTGTGTGCCCAACTGGGACCCAGAACTTGTGATAAAAAACTACACTCACACCCAATATGCCAAATATCTGAATGGTTCCAAGTACACAGGAGCTGGGGTTGGCACTGAGGATGATTGGGTGGTGGTTGTGTTGAGCACTGACACAGAAAGTGGAAGCTTTTCTGGTGCTCCTTCTTTGGCTGCAATTGGCATGGTTCAATACATGATGGCCATGTTGCTGGGGTTGTTCTTGATTTTGCTCTGCTGAATTGCTCTCCTGTTTTCTCTGATTATGTATTGGTCGAATTTGTGAAAAAATAATTATGTGATTTTACCCTACTCTTAATAACAATTGTAAGAATGTGCAACTTTTTCTTCTGATTTAAAAGTATGATGTAATTGTTTGTCGGTGCCAATTATTTCTCAGTTCTCATTCTTTTCAACGGCGAAGTTTGCACTTTCCCGACAATTTTCGTAGGGATCGACGGGACCGACAATTTTCGTAGGGATCGACCTCTCCCGGCGAAGTTTATTCTTTGCCGACAAATTTTAGCCGGTATAGACATTTCCCGGCTAGTGTGTTCTTCATGACCAATTTTCGCCACCTTCCGGCCAATTTCGCCACCTTCCGGCCAATTTATCTTAGACATAGACAACATCCTTTCATCACAAAAATAAAATAAAAAAATTAGACAACATACACATATGCTTGGGCTTAATGGTTGAAAATGACTCGAAAAAATAACAAATACTACCTTCCCATTTTTTTAAACCTTGGATTGCCATTCTTGAATAAAATCAATTTCCATTAAATGGACGCATTCATAAGAGGAGATGTCAAATGCAAAATGTTAATGGTTTATGTGTCAATTTGACATTTAAATTTGAATTTGATGGTTTATGTGTCAATTTGACATTTTGGAAAAAATTTAACTCTGGAAATGTCAAATATCGTATTATTTTATTATATTTTTAAAAGCAAATTAGACCCATATAATACATAAAGTTTTAAAAATAGAATATAATAATGGGGTTCATGATTAAAAAAATATTTGACACCAAATTTTTTAATATGTTATTTTTGACATATCTCTTCCAACCTTTAAATCCATATAGGATTTCACTACTCGGTTGGAGCAACTTTAACCTTCAATTTTTACCATTTTATGTCAATGTGGCAATTTGACATATCAATTGGAGATGCTCTAACTACGCTATCAAAGAGCGAATGAATAAATGACAAATTACTCAATAAATTCAATTAAAAACATGAATTTAATAGAATGAGATTTAAAAAACAAAAATACATTCTAATTTTTTTACCTCTAATAAAATTCATATATTTTATTTTTATTGGAAACAATGAGCTTTATAGTTAGACTATGCTAGAAAAATAATTTTTTGTCGTTAAATATCTCTTCTTCTTTTTTTTATTTAATGTATGTCGTCCAAATATGTTTAGATTTCGTAGAACTTTAGCTTAGCTTCCAACAAAAAAAAAACTTTGGCTTAGCTGTATTGGATCGATGGTCCACGTCAGACTCCCACATGCAACAAAACCAAAACCTGCGCGAAACAGAGAACACCAAAGCCATAGACACAGAGAAACAGAGAGAGACAGAGCTTCAAAGCCCTCAGAGCAATGGCGGAGGACGACGACTCCGAGGGCTTCGGAGACTTCAAGTTCGTCACCGCCGTCGATCCCAATCCCAAGATCAATGGACGAGTTTCGACCGTCTCAGATGACGATTGGGGCGACTTCGTAACCTACAATACAAGTCAGATCAAAACTCAGGCCGTTCTCTCCAATGGACTCACATACTCCCAATCACCTCCCACCCAAATACCCTACGACCCTTTCGGGTTTTTCAACATTGCAAATGGCTCGGCGCCTTCCCGACCCAACTCCGAGCCAAGCCGGGTTGACACTGAGCCCGAGAAGGTTGACAAGACTCGTTGGATGAAGCCGCAGGGAGCTCTGCCGTTATCGTTATTTGGGGAAGAGCAGGAAGAAGAGAAGTCTGGTGCGGACGAGTCCAGGGTTGGGGACGTTGCGACCGGCTTGACAAAAAATGAGGGATTTGTAAAAAACGAGTTGAATTTGAATGTGAGTAGTGTTGGGATTAACGATTTGATTGCGAATTTGTATGGTCAGAATCCAAAATTCGTAGTTCAAAATGGATCGAATTCGAATTTGGGCTCTGGTGGTCCTAATTCGACTAAAAAGGGGTTGAATTTTAGTCCCAATACGTTGGATTTGAAGTTTGATTCGCTGATTCCGAATGAAAATGAGAAATTTGGTAGTTTGAATTCGGCTTTGAATGGTTTGGATTTGAAATTTGATGGTGTAGATTCACATTCGAATTTGGGGTCTGGAACTCCTACCAAAAACGGGGTGAATTTTAGTGCCAATGCGTTGGATTTGAAATTTGATCCTCTGATTGCCAAAAAAAATGGGCAATTTGGTGGTTCGAATTTGGCTTCGAATGGGTTGGATTTGAAATTTGATGGTGTAGATTCGAATTCGAATACAAATGGGTTGAAGTTGGATTGGGAGGAAGGAAATGGTGATTTTGATGAGGAGGATAATGATGGTTGGGAATTCAAAGCTGCGGATTCAGAGCGCCAGGTTAGCAATGAGAATTTTAAGGTAAGGTGGCTTTTTCTTTGGTGATTTGATTGATCTTGTTTGTTTAGAGTCTGCACTCTGTTTGCTTTCAGAGAAAACTGTAATGAGAGGATATTAGAATTTCTCTCGCTCTGTGTGTTTTGAAATGAGTGAATTCTAGGTGGATAAGTGACGAACAATTCCATTTAGCTTTTGAATCTGCTTATACGTACTGCTTAACACCAAATGGAGCATTGGTAAAGCTATGATCTTTGCCTTTGTTTTTGGTTATTTGTTTATTATTTTGATTTCACTGTGCATATCAGGAACAAGGGGTTGTGGAAGTAGCAGGATCGAAAGTAGAATCAAATGCATTCACACACCTAGGAATCCAGGCGGGTATTGTTTTATGTTGCATGTCTTGTTTATATGTTGTTTTTGTGCCACCATTTTGAACTTTTGTTGGAAATTTTGAGCTAGTTTACATTTCAATCAGTCTTTGTTCTTCAGGGTCCAATTTGCAACTGCGCATTCACATAGGAACTTAATTTTGCCATTAAACATTGGAATATTGTGTACCATGCCATTAGAAATTAGAAATCGGATTTTCATTTGGGCCACCAAGTCTGACATATCCTAATTTGAATGTTGATGAGAATGGCAGGAAAATAGTGGGGGAACTGGACTTACTTGGGGGTTTGGAATTGATGCTCCTGAATTTAATAATGTCTCTGTTCCATCTCATGGAAATGATCAATGGGGTTTTTCATTTGATTTCAACCCAAGCCCTATAACTCAAGATAATCTTTTCTTGGATCTGCACTCAAAGAACAAGCCAAACAACGCTGAAACTGTACCCAATTCTTCTCCAGTTGATGGAAATGTGTGGGAATTCAAGGATGCACTTTCAGAAAATGGATCAAAGCATAAGTTGGTGTGTTAGTGTGATTTGGCTTTGTAGTTTTGGTCTGGTTTATTAAAATGTTAACTTTTTATGAGCATATCTTATAATACTTACTTTTTGGTTGTAGGGAGAGTCAAAGGCTGCCACCCCTTCTGGTTTAGATGTGCACTCCTTAGATGGTGTTAGTGCTCGTGCTCATAATAAGTTTTTTGCTGGATCTGATGGAATTTCTCACAAGTCTGGTGAAAATAACTTTGCATTTCCTTTCATCCCAAATTCTGGCACTGAAGATTGTATAGTCTCAGATTCATATTCCAGTGGCAAGAAAGATGACATTGCCAAAGGGTCGAGTTGTTCCCCAGCCAATGACCATGTTGAGTCTGATGACAATTTTTGGGAATTTAAGGATGCATTTTCAGAATCTGGATCAAAGCTTGAGGTAGATGATTTAGTTTGACCTTGATTTATATGCAATTTTTTATTATAAAAAGTTACATTAAAAACTTTCAACAGAAATGAATATTCATACTTCCATTTTGATTATAGGGGGAGTCAGTGATTGCCCGTAATCCTCCTACGAATATAAAACCGCCTGCAATTAGTGACGAAATCCAGGTGCTTACTCCAGATATATATTTTATTGATGAAGTTCTATATGATTTTGATATTTAACTGAGATGTATATAACCATCATAGTGAGAGCATATTGCATATTCTTTATTTATCTAAAGCAACTTTACCAGCATGGTGTTTAACGATTGTATTAGTGTACACTGGAATTCATTATTTCTTCTTTTTCTTTTTTTGGTGATGGTGGGCTATGCAAGGAGGAATTTTACAGCATCTATTCTTCGTCATAATGCTTGAACTTTCTTTAGCAAACTTTTGTGTATGTTGTTGAAGTTTCTATTAATTATGATCTACTAACTTGTAATTGTTTTCCTTCTATTTTACAGCACAATGAGGTAACATTGGAGAGTCATCGGCAAGCCTTGCCCCTGTCCATATTTGGAGACGAAGAACTGGAGACTGATGGTTCCTCAATCCATGAAGATATTTCTACTCATGCAGCTGTATCCCACCAAATAAATACCGCCAAAAGCCCTGTGCCCAATATATCCATCACTGATCTAATATCAAGCTTATACAGCCAAGTGGACCAGAACACTAATGCAACTGAAAATCCTCCGCATCCTGCCTCAACAGTGTTGGAGTCTGTTTTGGGTGATGACGATTTTGATGATGATTCCTGGGAATTTAAGGATGCTGTTTCAAGTGATCAGGACCAAACTTCTATTACTAATCTTGAATATTCACCTCCAAATTCCTTGACCAAAGTCCAGCTGGATAATCTTGTGGATTTCTATTGCAAATTGAAAGATGAATCATACTTTCTTGCACTCCGACTTCTTGACAATAAGGTCAGTAAATTGCTCTGGAGTCTGACCTTTTGTTATCAAGTTTTTAACAGTATTAAATATCTGAATGTGCATTTTGTTAGAAAGCTCAAAGTAGTGCTACTCTTTCTGGCGAAGATACAACAGTAGAGGCTTTGGAAGAGGAAATCCAGGTTTGTAGCTTTATATGACCATTTTAGTTTTATTCTTTTTTTCATTATCATTTGGGCTGTTTACTTCTCTTATGCCTATATATAACTCGATTGACTCCATGGTGCATTAGCTAATAGATCTTTCTAATAAGGAGCTTGGTTTTTGTATGAGTGCTTTTGTTAGGTTTGCAATTTCATATTTACTTCTTGTTGTAGCTATTTATAATGATCTTCATTGGAGAATAACACTCTTTCACTTGTTGTATCTTTGTGTTTATAATACATAACTCCACATTTTGATTATCTTGAGAATCATCGTAAGAGAATAGCATGAACTGTGACAATCAGAAACTGATGTTGGTGGATTTCATACTTCTATGAATAATGAAAATATTCGACTTGTGAGTAATTAACTCAATCCTTTTCTGTTACTGTTGTTTGAGATTTGAAATACACACGTGGTATTAGATGATTTAAGTTTATGCTATGGTGCTTGGTTTTGAAATGACTGGTATTGTTGTGGCTTGTAACTTTGCCAGTTACTTCTAATTAACTTTTTGTTGTCTCTTGTTGTAGAAATTATATAATGAACTGCATCAAGACGGTATGATCTCCGATCAATTCCAGTCAGGGAATCCTTCACAAAGAAATGCATGCCTTAATGAAGTTCATAAAGTTCTGAAGGATCCAAAGTTTCAAGTTCTTGAGTCAGAATATCAGTTGTCACAAAGATTGTCATTGGTATGTGTCTTGGCATTGATATGAAGTAAAATCATGAAACATTTCTCATTTGTAAATTACGCAGCAATCATCATAAAGAGAAAAGGCAGAAACAAATGCTCAAAAACACTTCCAATGTCTATCAGGGAACTTTTGTTATGTCAAATTATTCCTAACTGAAAGTTTATATTTTCTGTTTCCATTTTCAAAGGACTTGGCTTGACGCTGCTTGTATTTTGGCTTTGAATAGGCAGAGAAGGATTTGAGATCAGCAATTGAACTTTCAAGACATGCAGCATCCACGTTAAGGATTCTTAGATTGGGATCAAATGAGGAGCAATCTAATTACATTTCCACGTGGTCTCAAATAGTATCTATTTGTGCTCAAGAACTGAAACATGGTTCTTCAATTTGGATGCAATCAATAGAAAATAATGTTCAGAATCAAATATTGTCTGATCCTCAAGGTACTTTCACAAAGTACCTGTTCTTGATGACATCCCTAGTAATAATTGTCATTTCCCAAATTTTATCTTTAATTTGCTTTTTGGTTGAAACACAGGCAAGCAGTATATCCTTGCACTTGGAGAAATTTACAGAGTAGTTTTAGTTGTTGGAACCTCAGCCAAACTGTACAAGCCATGGACTCTATTACATTCTTCAGATTGTTCTAGCTTGTTTGCTCTTCTGAACGAGTGTTCTACTCTATGGTCAAGTTCGGGACTCAATGAAGCTCTCAAGAGTATTGCAGATGCAACTGATTTTAAATATGATGGAACCGTTAATGCACTGCTTGAGTCCATGACATATGTTCATCATATTGATGCATTTGCACTTCAAAACCATGTTGTTAATGGACAACAACCTACTTGTTCACTGTCACTATTAACTGCAGGAGCTGTGCCAGGTATGCAGAAATTGATTTTAGTCACCAAAGAGACAGTTAAACTAAGATATGTGAGGTGGATACTTGGTTTGCTTCATCTAGTAAATTTGGAGTTCTTTTAGCTCAAGGAAAGTGTGGTTATATATATTTACTTCATCTCTAAACTAGCTTCTGGTTTTATGTTCTCTTAATGTATTTGTTTGTTTGTATGTTTCAGGTATTAAAATGGTGGTGTGGAATGGGGAACACTTCTTATTGACGCTTGCAAACTTGTGGACAAATTTGATTAGTCCTGATCCTCCGAAATTGCCCCACTTGAGTTATAGCTGATGGGAAAAAATCATGTTGAAGTGATGAGGACTTTGTTTTGACATGTTCTTTGGCTGAGATTGCCGTTAAAATCCTTCAGTTCCCTCTGGAACATGGCCTTTAGGGTGTAACCATTGTTTTGCTGGAGTGAAAGGATGAACATCAATCAGAAAAAAGGTAGAGGCTTCTCAACATCACGATCACAAAGAAAATCTAAGTTTGGGTTATAGAAGATATAAAAGCCCGTCGGCTGCTCGGTTTAATCGTACCAAGTTCTGATCCAAATTCTTGTATTTTGAGCGACATTCTTTTTCTGGGAGCTGTTGTACAATAGAAATTTGGATGTAGAAAATGTTTGTATTGTAGTTGTGTATGTTTGAAACTGGCTGGGTGAATAAGAAAGCATTCACATACCCAGTAATAGAATTTTGAAACGAGGAAGAAAATAGGGTTCTCCAATTTCCAACTTTGTTTTTTTTTATTGTGTTGAGAGTTCACACCACGAAAAGGAGGTGTCAACTGATTACTAGTCAAAAAGCTTATTTCTTGGTGCAAATAGAACTTTACAAAAAAAAATTTATCTTCTTTTTTAACTGTGTTCTTTTGCTCATCAGTGAACCTCTAATTAACATAAATATCGATTAATTATTCTACAAAAAAAAAAATTTCGGTTAATTACAGGTGGCAATCAAAAATCAGATTCTTAAGAAAATTTATATATATAAAGCAAAAGTCAGAGAAAGGTGAAACATTCAAAATACCAGAAAATGCCTTTGGTTAATTCAAACATTAAGAATTGAAATTATTAATTAAATGAGGATAATATAGTAAATTTACATTTTTTTATATATTAAAAAAATAAAAATAAAAACAAAATCAGATAATAGGTCCTACTTTTATGGAACATAACTACTCATGTCATCTTTTCTTAATTCTAAAAATTAAATTTAAAATTTAAAAAAAAACCAATTGGCACATGCGTGAGCATGTGCTAAGGGGCTAGTAATAATAATAAGAAAGTTTTGTTTTTGTATAAACATTAATATCGATTAATTAACAGATATTCACCTACCAGACCTAAGTCAATTTCTCGTCAAATAGAATAACGAACCCAAAAAAAAAAAAAAAACTTGCCTGAATTAACAGTAAAAAAAGGTAATGATTTCTCCACTCTAATTTTATCCACTTACACTCCTCTTTTAGTTATAAAATGGAGTGTAAGTGGATAAAATTGGAGTGAGAAAATCACCACTCTAAAAAAACAGGTGAATCCGACAAAAATCGGGTCAAATGGGCCCAAAATCACCGGCCCAGTCTGTTTTTTTTTCCTCCATTTTTTTAGGAGAAAAAAAGAAAAAGAAGATATTAGGGTATTCGCTTACCACTATCAGTAACAGAGTATACAGTTTATTCTTTGCTTGCGTTGTTTTTCTGCAGCTCCCAACTCCTTTCGGTTCCAATTTGCATCCATAGATAATCAGACACTCGGAGTAGCAAGCAGAGGTAGAGAAAATGTTGGACATCAATCTGTTTAGAGAAGAGAAGGGCAACAACCCCGAAATCATCCGCGAATCTCAACGCCGTCGTTTCAAGGGCGTCGAGATCGTCGACGAGGTCATCCAGCTCGACAAAGAATGGCGTCAGCGTAATTTCTTTCTCTCTAAAAGCCCGAGCTTTTTTCATTTGGTTCAGAAAACCTGAGCTTTTTTTTTTCATTTGCTTAAGAAAGCCTGACCTTTTCATGAGCTTTTAGTATTGAAGTTTTGATTGTTCTGGTGATTATATTTAAATGTTAGGTCAATTCGAGCTCGAGAATCTTCGGAAAGAGTTCAACAAGATCAACAAGCGAGTTGCTCAACTAAGGATTGTCAGTATTTCATCTTCCTCTTGATTTTTTTAAAAATTTATTTTCTTCGTTTCCTAAATTTTCTTTAATTATTGGATAGATTTCTGAAAATTGTTCTCGAATCACTAAGTTTAAACAAAAAAATTAGAAGATTGATTTTCGACTGCACTTGTAGGCATGTGAATGCAATGCAGACTCCTTTGCCTACTCACATATGACAATTGAGTGTGGAAACTTAATTAAAATTGTGCTTCCCAATCCTAGAAAGGTCAATAGTAATTTGAATAAGATTTCATTCCCTCTTGCTCTGGAAAATAAAAACAGATTCTTTTAGTGCCATCAAATGCAGCTTGATTTTGTTTTCTTTAAGTTGGTATGTTTCTGTATTGAGTTCTTGGATTTTGTTATTTACGGATGATGCAACTGAATTTTATAATTTTCTGGGATAAAAGGCTGGCGAGGATGCAACTGACGTGATTAAGGACACAGAGGAAAATAAGAGGTTGGCGGCAGAGAAAGAAGTTGAAGTTAGAGAAGCTTTAACACAGTTGAATTCAAAATTGGAAGTCATTGGAAACCTTGTGCATGATTCGGTTCCCATCAGTAATGATGAGGTAGTGATTTGGCACATTGATTGTGCTTTTACCATGGCTCTATGTAATGCTTAGTCTGATATATGGTGTTATTATGTGTTTTAGGAAAATAATGCTGTGATTAGATCATGGGGTGAGAAGCGAATGGAGCCAAAACTAAAAAATCATGTTGAGCTTGTTGAGCTTCTTGGGATCGCAGACTTGAAAAAAGGTATTGAGTCCACTCGGTTTCTTGGTCTATGAGGTTTGAAAAAGCTTGGAAAATTTATGGATAGTTTAAGTTAACATGGCATGGCATGGATAATCTCTATTGCCTAATTACACAGTAGCCTTTTTTTTAAAAACTCAATCTGCTTAAAATGTATAGGTGCTGAAGTGGCCGGGGGTAGAGGTTTTTACCTGAAAGGTGCTGGTGTACGCCTTAATCAAGCTCTGATAAACCTTGGTCTTGATTTTCTTGAGAAAAGGGGATATACAGAATTGCAGACTCCATTTTTTATGAGAAAAGATATCATGGCAAAGTGTGCTCAATTAGCACAATTTGATGAGGAACTTTACAAGGTAACGTTTGTAATTGCCAACATTTTTTGTGTGGGCCATATAGAGTTTGTTCATTTGCATGATTTTTGTTGTATTCGTGAAGTTCTGTTTTTCATTAATAAATAGACGGGCTTTGTTTGATGATTAACTTGTCAAGAGTCTGGAATTGCTTGGTGTCGTGGATGTTTTTCATTTGAAATTACAAATGAATCCGTCATTGGCTCAAGGGGTTTGAGACAGGGAGACCCACTATCCCCATTCTTGTTCACTTTGGTAATAGATGTGTTAAGCAGAATATTGGAGAAAGCACAAGCTGCTGATCAGTTTCATGGTCTTTTTCCGGGGCATGAGACTGTGGAGGTCTCCCATATTCAGTTCGCCGACGATACCATACTTTTCATAGAGGATAAGGAAGAGTACTGGAATAATCTACTTCAGATTCTGGATTTGTTTTGTTTCATGTCGGGAATGAAAATCAACAAATCGAAATGTTCTCTAGTTGGCATTAATCTTGACGACGGGTTGGTGAATGGGCTGGCAGGGGCTTGGGGATGTGAAGTGGGGACCTGGCCTATGTCGTATTTAGGCCTTCCCCTAGGTGGGAACCCCAGAGCAATCAGGTTCTGGGACCCCGTTGTGGAAAAGGTAGAGAATAGATTACAAAAATGGAAGAGAGCATGCTTATCCAAAGGGGGAAGACTCACAATGATTCAAGCAGTGTTGAGTAGTATTCCGATTTACTACATGTCCCTTTTTAGGATTCCCATTGGAGTAGCCAATAGAATTGAGAAGCTTATGAGGGATTTCTTGTGGGAAGGTTTGGATGGGAAAAAAAACCACGCTGTAAGCTGGGAGGTGGTGGGTAAAGCAAAACTCTTTGGAGGACTAGGGGTGGGTTCGTTGAAAGCTAGGGGAGAGGCTCTGCGGGCCAAATGGTTGTGGCGGTTTCCTATCGAAACTCATGCTCTTTGGCACAAAGTAATCAGAAGTATTTATGGAATGGATTCAAATGGGTGGGATGCCAAACCTGCAATTCGAGGATCTAGTCGCAGCCCTTGGAGAGAGATTTCTAGTGGTTTTGAGTTGTTCCTTCAAGGCTGCGTCTTCGTGGTAGGAGGTGGAGTTAGAGTCAGATTTTGGGAAGATGATTGGAGCCGGGGGGGTGTTCTAAAAGACGTGTTTCCAAGACTATTCAATCTGTCCAGGAAGCAAAACCACAATATTTCCTCCTTTACGGACTCGATTGGATCCCCTCTCACTTGGGACTTTGGTTTTCGAAGGAATCTAAATGATTCAGAGATTGTGGAGGTGGCTAGATTGTTGGACTTACTAGAGGGAGTGAGATTGGCCACTTCCAGATTGGATAAGAGAAGATGGAAGCTTGATCCATCCGGTGTTTTCTCCTGTCACTCTCTCTGTACTCATATTCAGAATAGGGGCGAAAGGGAGGTTTTCTCTCCGTACACTCAAATTTGGAAGGCCAAGACTCCTCCGAAAGTTAAGATCTTTGTTTGGCAAGCGGTGTTGGGAAAACTAAATACAGGTGATTCACTACAGAGACATTGTCCCTATATGTGCCTTAGTCCGCATTGGTGTGTTTTATGTAATATGGCTGGGGAAAGCGTGGACCATATCCTCCTTCATTGCCCTTACTCTCTAAAGGTGTGGGAGACGTTATTGAAGGAAGTTAACACAGTGTGGGTAATACCGAAAGGATGCTTTGACCTTTTTTCCATCAGATTTGACGCTTTGGGAAGGGGAAAGAAGGCTAAAATTTTATGGGGCAGCTTGATGCAGGCAGTGGTCTGGAATCTTTGGTTGGAACGTAATAGGAGAATTTTCGAGGATTATAAGGGAGTGGGAATGGTAGAGTTATGGGAAAGAGTGAAGTTTTGGGCTGCTCTTTGGGCATCAACTTCTCACGCTTTTAAGGATATATCCTATCCTACAATTATGCGAAATCTTTTAGCTGTAGTATCTTAAGGAGTGTCTTATGTCTGGCTGGTTTTCTGTGTTGAGTGGCTTTGAGTCTGTTTTTTGGCAAGTGTGTCCTAAATGTCATCATTTTTTCCATTCAATTTTGAATAAAAAGTGTTTCTATTCAAAAAAAAAAAAAATGAATCCGTCATTGGAATCATCGTTCCTACATTTTGTTTGCCTAATGTGAGGATGACGTTGATTTAGTTGGTGTGGAACAGGTAACCGGTGAAGGTGATGACAAATATCTGATTGCTACAGCTGAACAGCCACTTTGTTCATATCATATAGATGATTGGATCCATCCATCGCAGCTACCCTTAAGGTTGTAACATCTTGCTGGAAATTTTGGCTATAAATGAGTGAGTTGTGTGTTCTGTTCATTAAACTTTAGGATTCTTTCCTCAGATATGCTGGATACTCGTCTTGTTTCCGTAAAGAAGCTGGTTCACACGGTCGAGATACCTTGGGAATTTTTAGAGTTCATCAGTTTGAGAAAGTTGAACAGTTTTGTATTACAAGCCCAGATGGAAGTGATTCTTGGGAAATGCATGAGGAAATGATCAAAAACTCTGAGGATTTTTATAAAATGGTATCATATCCTTTTCCCTGATCACTTTTTTATTTCCTTTGCTTATATATTTTTAATATCTGTTGAGTCTGGAAAGTATTGTTCAGTGATCAGGTGACTTTTGAATGTCAAATGGCATTTGTAGCACATTGAACTGATTTAAGTTTACTCTCATTCTACTTTTAGGGAGGAAAATGGTTATAATGCATGTTTGTGCATGTCTGTAATTGTATAAGTCGGAGCTTGACACACCAGCAATCCCTGCTTATTGTAAAATAAAGATGGATACCTTTTTATGGATCCAATTAATGTTGATGAACATTTTCTGTTTAGTAGTGTCATTACTAAACTTGATCAATTTGAATGTTGCGATTTTCAGTTAAACCTCCCCTATCATGTAGTCGCAATCGTTTCTGGTGCTTTGAATGATGCCGCAGCAAAGAAGTATGATCTGGAAGCATGGTTCCCTGCATCTCAGACATACAGAGAATTGGTCTCTTGTTCAAACTGTACAGACTACCAGTCAAGAAAACTAGAAATTCGATATGGGCAGAAAAAGGTAGGTCCTGAGTCCTCTTTGCTGCTGATCGTATGTCTAATTTAACATAAATATTTTGGTTATGGGTGCCTTAAGAAATTTAATTGGGTAAGAAAATAAGTGACTTTTACACTGGGTCATATATAACTGTCTGGTCTGCACATTCCACTTAGAAACTGCACGGACAATTGCATTAAGCTGCATTTTTCTATATTAACCTTGCTGTGTTTTTGTGCTTTTGCAGAGCAATGAGCAGACAAAGAAATATGTTCATTTATTGAACTCCACTCTTACCGCGACTGAGAGAACCTTGTGCTGCATTCTTGAGAACTACCAGAGGGAAGATGGTGTGGACATACCTGAAGTTTTACAACCTTTCATGGGCGGAAAGACCTTCCTACCTTTCAAGAACAAACCGGCCCCTGAAGTCAAAGGGAAGAAATCAAAGGCCTAAATTCATAATTTTATTTTGAGTTTTCAATGAAGAATAGGTCAATGAGATTAGTTCATGATATTGCATACGTAAACTATTGTGATGATTGTTTTGAGAAACTGTGAAACCCAAATTCCATATCTTGAAGTTGATGTAATGAATTTTAAAAGTTTGGCACTTGTTTAGTCTTGGTTTGACTGCTGATTTGCACCTTTATATCAATAAGATGTACCCTTGTGCTGCAAGAAGTCGTCGGTACAGAAAGTTTTATCAAATTAATATAAGTTTTTGCAGGGGATTTTAGTTTAATATCCGGAGGGTACTTGTTATTCATAATGTAATGATCAAGTCGCCCCATTTCTGAAATGATCTATTTTGGCTTCTGCAGGGTACGCAACCTTATTCCTTTGAAACAAGCTGGTCCACAATTCTCATCTTCTTCTTCAATCATGAAACTGTTTGAAAAGCCATTCTTCAACTTGGCCCGGCGCTTTGGGTTAAAAAGACTTTGCATGATGTTGAAATGAGAAGAACTCAAATTCTTTTTTGAGTTACTTTTCAATTGCACCAAAATAAAAACTCTGAGCCCACAAATTGGAAATTTTGCATTATCAAGGGATTAAATCTTGGAAACTATTGCATCTGCAATCTTGTTTTTGCTCTAAAAAGTCAAAGAACCATGACTTTGGAGCACCGCACGTACACAATGTGGCATCAATTTAAGATTATATTTCTTGTCCACAATTGTACGGAGATTCTCATTTCTCAGCTGATATGATCTTCTCTATTTGCTAGTTTGTAATTGTATGGTTGCTTCTTTATTTTTCTTTATTGGATAATGAAAACCAGCTAAGCTTTTATCACTGAAGTTGAGGACAATAAGATTTTCAAGCAATTAGCCCATTCGTCATATTGATAAATTTTTTTAGTCTCTCCCTTAGAAAGATACGAGTCCAAGCACAGTCATTCCCATCATTTAGAAATTCTTGTATACAACAATCTTCTCACAATAATTAATCTGAGATGGCTTCGATGCGTTCGATGCGAGAAAGTAGTTAAAAAATAAAATACAACGAATAGACGAAGTAGGTAACCGAATGAGGATAAGGCATTGTGGCATTGCAAGTTTGCAACTATGAACTATGCATTGACACCCAAATTCATTATCTCTTCATAATCACCATTACAGAGCTATACTTAAACAAGAGAATTTGGCCCATCTTGTGGAAAAATGTATATAGTCAGTGCTCGAACCTGATAAGCAATGACCCAAAATGATATTTATACTTGATTTGCAGTACACCATAAACTCACATTTGCCAATACTTATTTCACACAAACCTATAAATTTAAGGTTCTAAAAGTACCTAAAAAAAGAGTTTTAGGTACAGGAAAACTAAAGAAAAATAATAATTCTCTATCATCCAATAGATATTGGTAGGTTATGTACAGGAGAGCTAGCTTCTACACAACATACCTGTTTCTGAACCTACCTATTGTGCAATGGGTCAGGAGAAGAAGGCACTTGTCTGTTGATTGTTGCAAAAAAGCCTTCATCTGTAGAATTACTGGAGCTTTTCCTCTGAAGAACTTGAGGCTTCTCTGGATTTTCCACCTTCTCATTTAAACATCTAGCTCCAGAAACTCCATTGTATAAACCTGAGATGCCCAGGAAGATCAACAGAAGACCAATAACTTGATTCCTTGAGATGAACATGGACATGAGCAGCATGAGCAGAACTTCTGTGGATCCAAAAGTATTGTTTTTGTCTCTGTTCAGCTTCTCTTTAAGCCAACATGTGGAGAATATAAAAATCAGACTTTTGGGTTTCTTTTTGTGTTGAGAGAGAGAGAGAGAGCTTTTGGACTTTGGACATGTTGAGGAAGGAAGCTGGCAGGTTTTAAAGGCAGGCCTGGAGAGAAGAACTCCAACTTCAAATGTTTGCTTGTGTGTGTGAATATGTAATTGGTGAGATTCCCAAGCATAAAAACTAAACTATATGATAGGAGAGTGAGACTTTAACTGGTGGTTTTGTGATTGTTGTTTGACTGGTTGTGTGACTTGTGTCTTACACCACCAATGAACCCTTCATTTGTTTAAGAAATTGTTTCACATTTCCCAATTACCAAACCAAACAACATATGTCATTCACTCATTATTTATTATTTACTATAGCTTAAACTTGAAATTTAATCTAATTACTTAATTTTAAATAGAACATATTATTTCATTTTGGGGAAATAAAGGGTATTTCAGAAATTTTCGATAGGGGCACATTGATAATGTTTCAAGTCATATTCAAACCAACCAGTCCAACCAAAAATATACAATGTGCTTGCTATAAAACTAGTTGTAATCAAAACCCTAATTTCAGGATCTTGGTTTTGACTCTTGATTTTGGTTGTCATCAGTTTCTTCATTCAAATGTCTAAACTAGTAAATGTGCTAGTGTCCATGTGAATATATGCAATTTTCTAGACTAATGGTACATATTTTTTCGATTTATTAATCGTCGTTTAATTTGTTAATTACGTTTGCGTTTCAGAAAACTAGGGGTTTGCCCTTGCCTTTTGAAGTAACATTTGTCTTGCAGGGCATACGTTTGTGGTTATATATTTTACCATTCTTTTGTTTCTTGTTTTGGACTAGCTTATATGGCAGTTCTTCCATAAATGTATCTCCTTCTTTCTTTAATCTCAGTGTTAAGGTTTGTCTTATTGATCCTTGATCTTGTTTTAGATCTCTCTAATCTCTTTCACTTCGCTGCATATTATATTACTTCTTTCTTTGTTGATTTTCATGAAAATCATAAGAAACTATAGCATACGTTTCAGCTTTTGTGTTGCTCACATTAATGCATGTGTGCCAAAAGTAAAGCATGGTTAGGATCATGGGCAAGTTGCAAACAAGAACACGAACAAAAACAAAAATAAAAATGATCAACTCTCTGAATTGAACAGATTTTGGGTGCATGTTTCAAAATATTGCAGACATTTGAGATTAGACAAGTATCAATTTTTAAGGTCTTTATTTATTTATATGCGTCCAATCCAAGTGTTTTAATAAGAGATGGTGATGCCAATACAAACAGGCCTGTTTGATGAATAGGTTATAGGCCTGAGAGAAAACATGTTGTTTAAACGGCACAAAGTGTTAATTTAATCTCACTCTCATCCTCTAATTAAGTGCAAAGTTATCTCTCTTTCACTCCTTTATTAAATTATTACTCGTGTTTAGTTCTGTCTCATGCTTCCATTGTCACCTGTCAGTGTTTCTCTCTCTATCTTTTTCATTTCTCTTTCCTTCGAAATATTAGTGTTTATATTTATGGGCAACCGAATGAAAATCTAGATTAATTTGGCCGGCACTCACTTACCATGCTTGACTAAACAACCAGATTAAAATTTAACCACCTTTACCCAAAGTCAGTCTGCTATGATTATGATTACGCTTTTGGCTTGTAGAAAAATGAGACGATTATTTCCAAATTACTTTGGTAATCATGACATTATTGGAGATTTTGAGGAACAAATGGAAGATTAGAAGCCAACATGACTTGGGACCCATTCACATTGTCGAACCAACTACGAATTTGAACCTGAGCGTTAGTCAAAAGACTTCATGATACATTGGAAGGAAGCTTCATTAAATTATGTGCAAGTATATTACGTTTAGATTAAATCGTTAATTAAGTTTAGACCCGAAATCATGCTTACGAAAGACTTAACGACTTGGGAAAAGGCTCCCACCATGTTTGACCTCTGAATTGGATCAGGAAAATAACGAACAGTGAGCACAAACTCTGATACATATGAATTTTGTATTGCCGGAAAGAATGAATACAAGATGTTTTTATAGTTGATGAATGAATATTTCAGCTAACAGTAACAAGTCAATGGACCAAAAATATCTTACTTTGTAATCTACAACTCGTTCATGCCTCTTTATGAAAAAGCACGGTTTAATCTTAGACTGTTATGGTGAACAAATAGAGTTTTAGCACGACAGACAGAGCCAACTGCAACAGAAAGATCCCGGCGACAATCAAGAACCACCTTTCACCGGCTGAAACGATGTGGGCTCGAAGGTTGACTGCAACAAAGGTGGCAGACATAACCCCAGCTACGCCTGCAACTACCCATCTGAAGATTTCGATGGGCACAATTGAGAGGCACTGCAACCAAAACAGAGTAGGAATGTCAGCTAGCTATTACCATCTATCTCAATGGGTGACTTTTTTTTGTATTTCGACAAACAGAAGCTTACAACAGAATTTATTGATGGAATTCATCTTGAACCTATTGAAACATTGTATCTTAATAAAACAAGGTGAAATTGATTGAGATACCATAACTGAGTCAACTATGATATTTGGGTCTAAAACTATTAGAATTGACAATGTTTAGAAAGCTTCTCCAGGATTCTTAAAAAAATTATTCAAAGACCATTTTGACAAAAACATTCAGTATCTAGATAATTTCTGGCAAAAGTTTTCCTCCCACCTTGAATCTACACATACACTGCTTGAGACGATGGGCATAAGCTTTTGGGAGAGAGGGATCAATGTAGCTCTTCTACACCCAAACCTTTCTCCTTTCTAGAAAACATCTTTGTGGTAATAAATCTAATTAAAAAGAACTACACTGGAAAACCAGGGACTTACCAATGCTGGAATAAAGACAAACAGGGAGTAGCCATAGAGACAAAACAGCTGAACGAGACCTGATGGTGCTGAGAAGTATTTGAGAATTACATACAGTACAAGAGGAACAATAGTGACATAGCCATAGAACAATCCAGCAGACCATTGCACCACATTAATGTCATATTCCCAATCTTTACTCTTGATCTTGTGTGCTACATATGTCACAAAAGTGCCAATGGCAGCTGCTACAAATATTAGGGTAGTGCATATCCAGAAAGGTCCATACCTGCACAGCATTTGAAGTTAAGATCAGATGACATGTGTCTCACCATACAGATATTTTATGAGACTCATTTCCCAATATTTTCTCAAATTTTAAGATTAATTATTCTAATATCAAAATCTTCATCCACAATTATCAACTCTCAAAAAGACGCCACACCTCAGGGATGTTTGAATTTCAAAGGAGAATGCAATTTGATACTAATATTCAAAATATTACATTATAGACAGATAATTTCAGTTAAGTTGACAGAAGAAAACTTACAAATCTGGGCTGTTAGATGTTTTCTCATTGAACGTTCCACTGAATGGAAGGAGTGAATCTTTAATCCTCTCTAGAACATCAGAAGTGTCAACATCAAAGTATGACTTGTAAGAAGATACAGAGAATACCCGTAGCCAACCACTCTGCTGGGATTCATCAGAACCAGATACAGGTTTTGAAAACGTGTCTGTATCAAGAGAGAAAAACGTAATCCTTTTAACATGACAACAAATGACATCCATAGAAAGAAGAATAAAAAAAATATTAGTAAAACAAAATACTCTAACACTTATAGAAAGAAGTATGGCTAGTAGTTTTAACACTCCTTACGAAAAAAAGGTCTTACTTTTCTCGTAAGTCCCTCTTGGGTGTAATACCAACTATCTGACATATTAAATGAAACAGAGGCACAAAGGAGATTTCAGTCATTCTTGTTCAAATATCATCTTAGCTCTTCTAAGGTTTCTTTTCCGAACATCTACTCTGTTAAATTTCATCTTTCCAATGATTAGCAGTTTAAAGGACTAAATCACAACTTCAACCACATTTATTCTAGAACCTTGTTGACTGTCTATGGTACACCTAATTACTATTGCTGCAGATCTCTTTTTTACTTATAGTGCTGATCCAACCTAATCAAGTCTTATCATCCTTCATGATGGAACCATCAATCCAAAGACTTAAACTTGGCTTTCAAAAGCTTTTTAGGCAATGGATCCAAAGACTGTATTCCCTGGACTAGAAAGATCACAAATAATGTAGGAAAGACTGATATCAAAGCAAAACCTGGCTCGCACATTTCCATAAATAAAATCAGAACTAGTATGTACCATCGGCATCACGAGGAGGGCGAGCACCACTAGCAATCTTCCCGTGTGCCTCAGATGGAGGAAAAGTCTGAAGGTTTGAATCTGCATTTTTACAAATCATACAGTTATTTCAAATAATGAGAGAACTTTGCACCTACAAACTCAAAACCTAGCAACTGAGCTGGATGTTAGTAACATTAAACCCATCTAAGCAGAGGTTATTGAGCCCCTTCCACTTCAAGCCAAATAATACTAGTAAACTACATTCACAATTATGCTTATTCTTCGGCAATAAAAATTTACATTTTCAACTGAAATTTAAATCAAACAAAAACTGTCTGGTTGCTGAGAAAGGCAAGAAAGTAGAAAGCATCGTTAAAATTCAATTTTCCTGCATCAAAATCCAACAGTTTGTAACCAAAATTTTTTTCCAACAGCTAAAAACATTGGCTAACACAATGATGCAACGATTGCAAACTGATTCTTTCCACATCTAATCTTGTTTCGTATTATTTTCCCTCCGTTTCGCGCCAACCAAATAAAAGGTAAGTAATTCCACAAACTAATCACTCATTTCCAGAGCTCAAAATTAGAAAGGAATTGTACCTTCGAATTTGACGGTGAGGTGACCCGGATCTGGAACCGCCTGTAGAATTAGCCAACATCATTTCACCAGAGAGACAAACATGTATAAATATACGCATTTTTATGAATTTGTGAATTGAATGCTTACAGCAGGAACGGATCCTGAGACGTTTTGGTTATCAATGCTCGTATAGTTTCCGGACATCATCTTTCCCTCTCTCTCTTTCTGCTTCTTCTTCTTCTTCTTCTTCCTCCTCCTTGTCTGTACTCTCGCTCAGATCTCTCTCTGGTGCTCTCGGAGACTTGGAGTAGCGCGTGGCTTTTATTATCTTTTTTGCTTTTATTTTACTCGTTAATTTTTCTTACACGACAAATATGTAATGGAGACCCACCCAAAAAAAATGACGAATATGAGATGGTAAGCTGAAAAGAAAATAAAAACTTAAAAGGTGGATTGAGGTTTGGGCTTTTGTTGGGCCTTAGCTGTTTTTTGGGTCAAAGGCCTTTCTTTTTCTTTTTTTAAAATAACATTCAAAATATAAAATTACTTTTTTTTTTGTCTGAAAAATAAAAATACTATAATGGTGTGTTTACTAATCAAGAACTAAATTCCATTTATGGAGGATTTCTGCGTTTACTTCACATCAAGAAATTGAAAAGTAAGTGGGTGTAACATCTCGACCCAAATTTAAGTATTCGTTTAACTTAATTAATTTAATAAATTATGAAATTACAATTTTGCCTTCAGGGATAGGGTTATGTTGGTCACTCTTAAATCCGGAAGTATTTTGGGAAATTGAATGACACCATGACGTAGATCGTGTCGAGATGAGTCCGTAGACACGTAGTGGGCTCAAATCGGAGTTGTAACGAAAAAGTTACGATCAAAGGAAGCATAGTGGCATAACCTTAAATATTTCGAAAATGGTTTTGAAAAAAAAAAATGATTTATTCTCTCTCTCTCTCTCTCTCTCTCTTCTGCGTGCGAAACAGCCCCCCCTTGTCCAGCTGATCGGTTTTGTGGCTGCCATCACCACCTCTGGCCACCAATCTTGACTCTCTCCATCCCACCCCATCCCCGGCCCCGATAGCCACCGCCGCCCCGGAAAATACTAAAAAGCTGCCTAATTTGACCCAAAACTTCCAATGTTCGTTCCGGTGATTCCAGCTACCAAATTTGTCGATCTAGGTATGTTTTCTCATCCTCTCAATGTGCTCTAGCTAATGGTTGGGTTGATTAGGATCGAATTTTGAGTTTTGAAACTCGATTTACAACTTAAAGTTTTAGCATGTTTTTGGCTAGTGTTTCCGGCAAGTTTTAGTCACTTTTTGGCCTTGATCCAAGAACAAAAGTTACTCTACTCATTGTTCAGATCACGTAGGTATAGGTATTGATGAGTGTTTTGAGAATTTTCCGGTCACCGAAATTTCTCTAGACACCCATGCACTGCTGACCGTGTGACGGCACATGGGCACTATTTGGGTGACCCATTTAGTCCTAAAATGATCCCCATGTCGTCCCGAGCACAACGGTTTGCTTGAATTTGAATTTGGTTATCGTTTGACTGTCGATCAGATTACGCATATTAGGCATTATCCGGGTTCGACATGTTCGAACCATTGGATCGACTCCATTTTCATATATGTTGATATATGCATCTCTAGAACCGTGTAGGAATTCGAGGATCGTGAATCGGAGTCCCGGATGCTTTGATTCAATGACTTAAAGTTTGCATTAAACGATAACCATCCGATCGTGTGATCGCGAGTGATCCGATCGTTCGATTTGGACCAAACTCGCAGAACATGAATAATAAACCTTGTTAAACCCATTGGAACATTCGGGAAATCAGAGGTCGTGGGCCCCGCAGGCTTGGTTGACCCAATTTGAAAAATTTGACCACTCGGTTGACCGAGTGTCTTCCAAGGCTATTCTATCATCCAGAACACGTAGTTGGACTTTAGGAATGTCTCGTTCGACGTACACATACTTTGAATCCCAGAAAACTAGGATTTAATTTAAAGTTCTCGTTCGAAGAAATTTATGTTAATTTAGTTCTCGTACTCTAAAATAGGTACTCCGGCTACTCTTACGTAGTAGGTGGGACCCTCTCAGGGTCAAGCAGCGTTGGACTACTTTTGAGTGAACTTTGTTTTTAAAATATAATCATTATTTTCAAGAATGGGAAAAATAAGCATAATGGTTTCTTGATTATTGAATTATTATTTATTTAGATGATGAATATAATATTATTATGAAAGTTTTGGAGTTATATTCGAATAATTGCGGATTGTGAATATTTTGAATGGATATGTATTATTTTTTAGAATGACTATTTATACGTGGATATGTGTTGAGCACATGGGGTTGTTGGGAAGGGTTATGAAATGTGGATTGGGTTGTGGTTAAGTCAGTTTTGAGTGCTATAAGCACTACCTTATGTACCTCCCCGGATTTGGAATACTGGAATTGGATACTTGGTGATATGAGATATGTGGAAGTGTTGGAACCCGGGCACCTTTGACAAGGTGTTTTATAGACCCTTAGCGGGGTTAGTTTGCGCGCATAGGACTTGTCACAGGCGTACGAGTATTAAGGATTCTGTTGTACGTGCTAGTGAGTTTAGTCCCAGTTTGATGGCTCGTTCCCTAGCAACATGATTAATTGAGGATCCTTCCATGTGGACTAGTCAAATAATCCCCCGGTTGGATTGTTTCCCCTGTACAAACTTGGTAGTGGTCACACTTATTATATATATATATATATATATATATATTTGTTCTTGTTTATCGGTGAGGATACTTCCTCACTCGTCGTGCCAACGAGCATGCGTTTTGAGAGAATAGTTTGGGAAAGGTTTGAATGGGATGAGAAATAAAAGTATCATTATGGGATTTCGAATTTCATTATGGTTTTGACTCAACTGTACATATACATATGGCTATATTGATTTTGAATGCATATGGTTTTCAGCATCGTTTTCTAAACGGTGGGGGTTATATTATGTTGGTTTCAAATGTGAACTAAACTTTATTTTTGTCCACTCACACTTTTCTGTTTTGCGCCCCCAGGCAGTAGGTCGTCCTGAAATCAAACGGACGGAGCAAGTTGTGAACCCCGAGACGAGTTTATGTAAGGATAAACTTTCGAATCATTTCTCTTATGTTGAACTTTATTCTATTTGTAAACTGAATTTTGTTAGATATGCTATGATGTCACCCGTATTATGGTTGATTGTAAGGCCGGAGGCCATTGATGTTAATTGCATGTATTTATCTTGTGCATGCTATCTGTTAGGATGTTTAAATGTGTTTAACATGTTGAAAAATTTGGAAAATGTCCATTTTTCAAGGGAGACTGTCGAAATTTAGGCAGAAAGTCTCGTCTCTTTTAATAAGTGGGTCCATCATCAGATTGATGTTGGAAATACCACAGGATTCGTCCCGAATTCCGAGGAATTTGGGGCGGGTCCTGTCAGTGGGGCCCACACAAAATTAGGAATTGAATTCCTGATTTTGGAGAAATTCAATTCTTTGGTGGAAGGTGGTATTCTAATTCTTGCAGAACTAACCCGTTTAAGAATTCATCTTTTTTACCCATTATATTCTCACACAATTTTAAAAATTCCAAAATTTTCATATACTTTAACCTAACAACGAGAACATTTTAGTAATTAGTACCACTCATAACCCAATTGCATATGATTTAGTAAACAACTTCAATAGAAATCGGAATCTAACTCCCCTCAATCCATATGGTTTAGTAAACAACTGCAATAGAAATCCAGAATCTAATTCTCCTCAATCCAACTCCTCCTCAATTCAATTCCTCATAATCCAATTGTGCATTAGTAAACATGCCATAAGAACATGTTAACTTAGGACATTTATTTATTTATTTGCACTTCATTGTTAGTATTTTGAAGAGGAAATAAGATATTCTGGTGCTTTTTTAAAAGAAGAAAAAAAAAAGAGGCTATCATTCAGATGTCGTTGTTCACTTGTTATTTTAACAACAAAATTAGGTAACTTGTTAACAGTTTACCATTAGCTATCTCAGAAATCTTATAATTTGAGCAAAGTTTGATGGTCATTTGCCATGTTAACGAAAACCACATTTACTAGGGTAATAAAATTTCCATCTGAGAATAGTAAGCAACGGCAATCACACAATTAAAATTTATGCATCATTATTTTTGCAGAACAAATTTCTGCTCTACATTATTTCTCTTAATTAAAAGCTCACTCTAAGTACTGAGCTCAAACGGATTGACATAACCATCATCTTTGAAGCAAGGCCTGAACCATCATTCCTCTATAACAAAAAAAACTACTTTATTACAAAAGCAAGAGCTCATATCTGAAAATTAGTACCCCACTTTAAATAGCACATCTGTTTTCAGCTAATCAGATCAAACTCCCACCTAATTTACATGTGAATTCTGCAAGTTCTTGTTGGTACAATTCCAATCAAGCATCTTTTAGTCTGCCCCTTGTAAGCAATAGATACCTTCTGATTGAAAGTAAAAGAACCCAAGTAGCGGCCGAAAGTTTTTCCTTGATCATCAAAAGCAATGCCGAGCTGAGGACAGTCTTCAATATTTGAGCATGCAATCCCTTGAAGAAGCCCAGAATCCCTTCCTTTTTCCATATAGCACATAGAACTCCTGGTATCGTTTTGCTGGACTTTGGTCGAGCATTCTTGGTTTTTTCATTATCGTCCTCAGCAGCTTGGATCATGACCTTACATCTGTAGAAAGTAAGAATTTCAATTGATATTCATAGGTCAACCTTATAAGTGAGACAGTTTGAGAGGGAAATTATGTACCTAATGGCAGGGTAGGTTAGAACGGTGGCAACAGTCTTTGAGACCGCGCCTAAAGCAAATGCCGCAAAGGCAGAAAGGGCTACTGGGGATGAACTGTTGCCCGTTTTGTTTTTCCCTTCAAGAAGTCGTTGTTTTAGCTGATCAAACACTGTATACTGAAGTACAAAACAATTTCAGTTTCAGCCTCAATTATCATCTTCAAATATTTTGTGTTAACGGAAACGTAATAAGATGCAGTCAAACTTCAATTCTAGAGACAAGGGCAACAGAATGAGTAATTAAAGAAAGAAAATGCCAAGGCAACTACCTGGATTGCAGGGTTTGCGGTCAGCAACAGGGAGATTCCAAGACCATCAAATGCATCAATCCAGGTGCCCTCTGCAAGGGTCTTCAACAGCCCTTTGGATTTTCCAAAGGCACTTGTCTGCATCCTTGATGAGGCTGTGTCTAGAGGCTACACACACGGTGATAACCAGATAGTCATTAAACTTCAAAATTCAGTGATGTAGATTGCTTGTGCATAATCA